AATATATTTTTAATGCATGTTCACTTTATCATCCAATTAAAATTTCATAAAACTTAAATAGTATAAAATAAATAATATATATATAGGCATAAAAAATAGTATAATATATTGAGAAAAGGTGACTTAAATTCAAATGCAAAATTGCACAAATTTATAATCCTACACTTATAAATATGTTAATTATTGTAAATATTTAAATTATAACTGAAATTTTTTGTTAATGTACATAAAATTGTTACTGATTCAAAATATTGCAAATTACGCTAATAAAAGCGATCTGTGTTGACAGCCCTGTAATTATAAATTCATTATAAATAAATAATTAATAACTTAAAAAGTTAATTTGAAATTTAAATTTTAACAGCAAGTATAATATTATTTATCTCACGGTATTTCAAAATTAAATCCAGTAATATAATTTTTCTTCCACTATTGTTTCCTTCTACTTATATACTCGTACATTTGAGATTGAAAAAAAGCTTTTGTTTTCTTGTTTAATCTTTTAAATAAAACATTGTGATGTCATGATTTTTTAATGAAATTCACCACACTGTAAAAATCTGTAAAAAATATATTTTAATATAATTGTATATATATAAATACAACATATCATATACACATTTTCTCACTCTCTCATATATAATTAGATATATTTAGATGTAAATTATTATTGTAATTTCTGCAAACAACCTACATGAATAAAACAAATTTTCATTCACAAAACCCGCCTTTTTGACGTCATACATATACATATGCAGATAAAATCATAGTTGCTAATAAAATATTTCTTTATGACAAGATTGAATAAAATGTGTTACATCCCTATAATAAATTAAAAGAAAATATACTTTATATTTATTTTTGTACCTACATGTTTAATAAAAACTGTACTTGTATTTAGATACATATATTTCAAATTTAAAAATATAAATAAAAATAAGCAAATCATAAGTAGATCTTTAGAAAATGCAAATACTATTTATAATAGTTTTTGCAAATAATGAAGAAATCTTCTTATAAAATAATAGTTTATATCAATAGCTGTTAAGTGTTTTACCTGGTTTTACCTGAAATAGTATATCGGGCGCAGTTTATACGAAAAAAAATAATTTTATATCCTATACAATTATTATTTTTATATTAATTGAAATATGTCTTTAATATCAGCATAATTTTATTTGTTACAAAATATAATTTTATATTGATACATATAAATTTCGTGAAATTTCTATAATATAAAGCAATGCTTAAGTAAATAATGAAATTTATTTTATTATACATATATACATTATGTAAATAATTAATTAGTGAAGCGTATCACAATGCAATATTAATGAATCACATTATGTTATATAATTAAGTATATTATGAATATATATATATACATATATGCACGCGATTATCATAAATGTAATAACTATACGAATATATAATATGAGGGTGTTTCTATTTTACAATTGAAATTACTTTATGACGCTATACTTTATGATATAACGCTATATACTTTGTGGGGTTATAGCCACATAAAACTATTTATATGTACATATGTATGTATATAAACAAACACCTGTGTTATATTATACATTAGCAACTTTATCCGATCGTATGATTCCTACATTATAATGATTATAACTTTATTTATCTATCTTATTAAAAAATTAATTTTTATAAATTAGATGATTTGAATAAATGCAGGTCTTTTTATTATTCAATTGAATATTAATTATTTAATATTTTGGGAAAAAATATTATAACAGTAATAAAAATTATTATATATAATCGAAAATTAGACGCCATTAAAAATTAATAAACGTAATCAAAATAAAAAACTTACGACCGGAAAAATTATAAAAAAATTTAATTTGAAGAAAAAAAGGTAACCATTATGTACATAATATGTATACATACATATAACGTATACATCTGTATGCCGTAAATGGCGATTGTGATACTCAACTTTATATTCAACGACAAAAAATTTTTCATCAAAACTCTGCTAGAAAATAAAATAAGTGATAAGTATAATAAAAATAAATAATAAAAAATTAAGAAGTTTTAAAATTAATCAGAAAAATTAGACCTAGTTAAATTATTCAACTAAATTACAATTCCAAATTAGAGATTAAAACAAATATTAAAACAGCTCCAGTTTAATTTAAGTATAGCCGGCAATAAACTGTTTATTATAAATATAATAAAATACAGAAATACACACATGTACATATGTGTGTGTATAATAAAATTCAATTATTCAGTATTTACCTATCACACATTTTTAAAAGTCTTATAATTACGAGTGTAAATATATAAATTGCAGTAAATACTTCACATTGAACACATTTAAGAATTTCAAATTAAGACTGCCGTTTCTTCGGTCAGAATATTTGCACTCCTATTTTGTGCCCCGCATACTACTGTGCTCCTTCATTGTTTTATGGACCTGTTTTCATTTTTCCTATAACATAACATAATATGTTTTGTTAACTGTTTTGTAGAAGCTGGCATTTTTTTATGATTTGCTGACTCTATATTTATTTGTATACATTATGTAATTTAAACTTAAAAATTATTTACATTTACTCATTACTGTGAGACCATGGAAACTGTTTAAAACTGTTTTATTTTCTTATTTTTTTTATCTTTAATAAATTGATATTAAACTAAATAAAACATTCTGTTTTTGATACTTCTTGACATATTTTTTGGTGTTAAAAAATGTTATCACAAAGTTTGTATTAATTTTTCTTCGAAAAAATAAAGATGAAGTCAAACCAATGGTTGTATATGAAATTTTTAATAAAACTTTTCTTCTAACAAAGTAAACTATTTATTAGTGTCTAAAAGCTACTAAAATTTCAGACTTATGCATACTGTGGTTTAGAAGAAAAATAATATTAAAAATTTAGAAGAAACTGATTTTATATAACGGTAGATATTAACGACTATTTCGTTTTTCTAAAGCTCAAGTACGGTATAAAAGAAGCCAGCTACTACTTTTCTCCCTTCACGAAACTCGATAAATGCCTATGGTTGTGCTGTAATGAATAGTTAAAATTGGCATTTTTATGGTTTTTGGAAGGCTATAACTTTTAGAGTGAGGAAAATTTTCTTCTACGGAACTAAGTTTCTTGTAAAGAAGTATGTTTTTACGAAATTTCAACCTTCTACCTTTAAGGGTGTATCTGACCATTGGTGCAGTGGTTATGGCACCGGTCCTTTAACCGAAGGGTCTCGGGTTCAAACCCCGGTCAGGTCACTATAAAAATTATATTCAATATTAATATAACTTAATATACAATACTAATAAAAATATTATACAAGTAATGTTCAAATATTCCTAATATTCGATATTAAAAAAAAAACTAAGAAAAATAAATAGTAAATATTAATAACCTCAAATAATTAATATATAAATAAAAAAAAAACTACGGCAGGCTAGTCACCTACCTAGTTAAACCCTATGACGCTTGAAACTAGTGCATGAGAAATCATGCACTAGCCCTATGCTTCTTCTAGGAGTGAACAAAGGAAAAAAAAAAAAAAAAAACCTTCAAGGGTGTAGAAGTTTTGCAAACGAACGAACAGAGTGAAATTAATAAGCAACTTTTTTAAATTTTTTTTCAAAAAGTGCTAAAAAAAACTTCGATTATAAAAAATTGAATGACAGTACTCGTAATGATGTTTAAACAATTTTTATTAATTGTTTTCTGTAACCTCGAATTAAATTATGTATGTATACTTGTGCATATTATAAAACAATAGAAGTTATAACTGAAAAAAAACATTTATATGTACATAAAGTATGTTATATGTGTGATTGAAAATGGAGAGAAATGATCGCTTCTCATCTCTGAATTTATGTATAATGAAATACACAAAATATATGTATGTATGGATATGTATATTTACTCATATAACAAATGTGACGAATATCATAAAATATATTCATATAAACATACATATAGATTATACATATGCCTTTTATATTATCAATCATCGTAGGTAATATTAGTCAACAAAATTTTCTAGAGAAATTTTACTACAGAGGTACGGATAGGTAATAAACAAAGTAATTATAAAATAAAATGGGGCAATTAAAATATTTTTGATAAGACTCCAAAAATGTAAATAAAATATAAAAAAAAAACAAATTCTCGATTTACAAAAGAAATTAAATATGTTTTTGATATTCTAAATACTAAAATTATAGTATACCAAATTGTAAATCAAATCGTAAGAAAATCAGACTTAATCATAATAGCACAAAAATTATCTAATATATTTATATTAAAAAAAAAGCAAATTTAAAATTTATTGTATTCAAATTATTAGAATTTAAAAAAATTCCCACAAACTAAAAAAATTTTTGCTAAATTAAAATTAGAGTGGGGTATGCGCCCGAGCACTTGCAAGAAGAAAGAATCCCTTCATATTTTTTCATATTTATAATTCTCAATTCACAAAAACAGGAATTATCTATAATTCCAATAATTTAAATTAATATGTATATATACATACATATATGTATGTATATGTCATCTATTGACCTCAATTTGTTTATTCAGTATTCATGAATTCCCAATGACGATACTTACTCTTATTTTTATGGTTTATTTATATGTATAATTAGTTACTGATTTAAGTACTAGAAAGCTGAATTTCTCAGCAAATAATTTAGTTCGAACTAAGTTTAAGTTATAAGAGGTTTAGTTAGTTACCGGTTGAATATTTTTAATTTTATGTTACAATTAATGCATACGTTTAGAAAGGAACAATTTCTAAAACTTTTTTTAAGTAATTATGAACTTAATAAAAAATAAGCAAATATCAAATAATACATTCTTTTCTGCATAAAATTTTTGTCGAGGAATAACTACACAATTTCGATTAGTGTTTGTTAAACTATTATCGAATTACAATTTGTAGAACATCTAAAGAAGTTTTTTAAATCTTAATCTTTAGTTTGCAACCCGTTTTTTTTATTTTACTTTTCATATCGGGAAAATTACAGTAGAAAACAGAAAACAAAGTTCTTTTAAAGTTATGATAGCTAATGTCAGTATCGATAAGATCGTTTAATGTCTTAGGTAATATTTTTATTTCTTAAAAATAATATAGAAAATTTAATTTATAATAAAAAAGTTTTATGTTTTTAAACCAGAAAATTAGAACTTATGTTTGTAAACCAAAACATTCAATAACAACAATGTCATTATCTATTGATATATTGGATTATGTAATCCTTATTGGACTATTGTTAACATTTATTGGAATAGGGATATATTTTGGAGTGATATCAAAACAATTAAAAACTTTTGAATATTATTTCTTGGGAAATCGTAATTTCAATTCATTTATAATTGCTGCATCGTTAATTGCCAGGTAAGTCGCATATAATACTCATATACATGTAGTCGCACATAGGCTGATGAATTTTAAATACACACAGTTATACGGAAGATGCAGAATGATGCATCACATATATTTTTAAAACTCTTCCAAAATTTTAATTACTTATTCAAATAAATCATAATTTTTATATAAATAATAAATCAATATTGAATTTATTTTTTCAAAAGCTATATTTGTTTGCTAACTATATTAGTTTGCTAACTGAACGCTGTTTATGTAGAAATTCTGTTAAAAAGAAGTGCAAAATGGTCCGCATATACTTATATAAATGCTGAGGAATAAACGTTAGTTTTCCGTAACAAAACGTAAAAAAGTGTGACTGAACTGTATTCTTCTCACATAGTCTTTCATATATATTGATGTAATGAGGAATGTTGAACACTTGAAGAGTTGTGTCTTTAGAACTTGTTACTTTGTATTAAAATATAATTCTGATTCATTTTACACCCAAACATGTAGATAATATGTAAATAATATACTAAAAATGTATACAATAACTTTTTTCAATTACATCAGGAAATATGTATGTATATACATATGAAATCGGATAAAGGTTTCATGAACCTTACGTCAACATAAACTTTATTATTCAAAAATTTTTTTTATTTAATTATAAGGAATCTGTTTATAACACACCATAAAAGTGATAAAATAATCTAATAATTCACTATCGTCAAATTATGGACTCTTATATTATATCAATAGAACCGTATATAAATAATACTCTATAATTTTAATTGCAATAAGGGTAATTGAAAAAAATGTTATTAAAAAAGCAATCCTTTTGAGTTTAAAAATCACAGCTATTTACATAGTTTTTTATCCTCTAATCTATAATGATATCTACTATATAATGGTAGGTTATCAATGGCCTGGTTCTTTTAATGAGCGGCCCATTCAGTTGAATTGAGCAAAAGATGACAGTTACACTTAAAAATTTATGAAGTTTTTGAAATTCTTCAAATATTAAAGGGAATCGATTTCTTTTATTTCAGTCAAATATCTGTGGTAACAATTCTTACATTACCGGTTGAAGTTTATAACTTTGGCTTACACACAATATGGTCAAGTTTAGCATTAGTTTTTATATTACCAATTATTTCATTTATAATTTTACCAATTTTTTATGAAAATAATATTTGGAATTGTTTTGAGGTAAGAAGTAAAATATTCTTTTTTTTTTCAATTTTTTATTTTGTATTTTTTTGTTCATGTTTTACTTAATGTTATGAAATTTTTAATTATTCAAGATATTATATATTTTGATTTTCAAATTAAAATTTAATTAATTAAGGTATGATATGAGAAAATTTTCGTAGAATGTCCTTCGTTGTATCAATCTACATTAAAATAAAAAATTACATACAAACACCTCCGTAGAAATTTCCACAAAATTATTTTTCACTAACATTTTTTCTACTTTTCATCCTAATCATTTTATTATTTATTATCCGCTTACGTCATCATCTAAAAATTTATGTTATTAATTTTCCCTTGAAATTTTACGAAAACAATTAATATAATGTTTAAATATTATCAAAATTGAAAGTCTTACATCATTTTATTTTAGAGCACTATATTCAATTTATTTTTTATTATAAATAAATAATTTATTTAGTATTTGGAAAAAAGATTTAATAGAGACACCAGAAATTTGGTTACAGGACTTTTCATAATTAAAATGTTTTTAATGATGCCAATTTTAACGTTTATACCATCTTTAATATTCTCACAAGGTAAGACCTTTCAAAGCTCATCTTCATATGCATAAGTATAAAAGGCTTAAAGAGTTAAATTATTAAATTCCAAAAATATTTTTAAAATTTATTTTTAATTTCATTAATTGTATTCAGCATTATTCATAATTGTATTCATAATTTTTTTTCTACTCATTTATTTATTTCGTTTTTTTCTCTTTCTTATATTTGAAAATTGTCAAGTAACCAACATTAACATTCATCTAATTAATGGGATTGTTTGCTGTGTATGCGTATTTTACACCATGCTGGTAAGAAATGATAAATATGTAATAAAATGTCAAAATTGTTTTAATCATTAATACCTTAAATCTTCTAACATTGAAAGTTTATGTCTAAAAGAGAAAAGAAAAGCGTGCAAATAGCCATAATCGGTATAATCACACTCAATTTTAGGTGAATTATTTTTTTATTTACATAATTATTTTACTACATGTATTGTTTAAAATAGGTTCAAAAACACAAAACAAGACATCAATCTGCCGTCGTGAACTGACAAAATAAAAAATCTGATGTGGTCAGCACATAACCGACCGCATTGAGTATTGTCTAGTTAAATGAAAGTGTTACAGAATATTATAAAAATGTCTGTTAAATACTTCATTCCAATTTTCAGGACATTAGTAAACTTATAGTTAACATACTTAGAAAAATGTAAATTTGGCTCTTAGTAGAGTTTCGCTTTGTGCTACCCGAATTCCCTGAAATGCTCGCCAGTTAGTTTCGGTAACAACCAGGACTGAAATATCAAATTTCAAGAAATTCCATCAATTTGTTCTGTGGATATGGTGAAAAATGTAAAATCGGCCCGCAAATCAGTTCTTGAGCCCTGATCTTTCCAAAAAAGTTATATGTTTATTGCTTTAATATAAGGAATTCATATATTAAATTTCAATGAAATCGGTTGATTATTTCTCTTTATATACACAAAAGTGTATATTTCGCCCGTAGTAAACGTCTAGTTGCCGATGCATGATCTTTCCAAAAAATTTACATGTTCATTGTTTTAATACGGGGAATTCTTATATTAAATTTCAATGAAATCGGTTGATTATTTCTCTTTATATACACAAAAATGTATATTTGGCCCGTAGTAAACGCCCAGTTGCTGATGCCTGATTTCTTCCAAAAGTTAGGAATGTTTGCGTATGATCGAGCAAAGCTTATGTATGAAGTTTCAAGTAAATCGGTTGAATACTTTCTTCAAAATGGTGAAAAATGTAAAATTTGCCCGCAAATCCATTTTCGAGCCCTGATCTTTCCAAAAAATTTATATGTTCATTGTTTTAATACGAGGAATTCATACATCAAATTTCAATGAAATCGGTTGATTATTTCTCTTTATATACGCAAAAATGTATATTTGGCCCGTAGTAAACGTCTAGTTGCCGATGCCTGATTTCTTCCAAAACATACGAATTTTTGCGGACGGTCGAGCTGAGCTTATATATAAAATTTCAAGTAAATCGGTTGAATATTTTCTTCAAAATGTTCAAAAATGTAAAACAGGCCCGCTAAAAAGTGCAGTTCCCGAGGCCTGATATATACCAAAAGTTGATCGATCCGTGCCATGGTGGAAACAAACTTACATATAAAATTTCATCAAAATCGGTTCAGCCGAACTTGAGATACACGCGTGCACACACAGACCGACAGACCGACTATTGTTTACACAATACGGTCGGTAAAAATATCAAGCTACTTCATTCATTTTTATCGTAGATAACATTTCAAAAAAGTTAAGTCGAAATTGAGCTTAGAAAATATGCGCATCGACAGAGCTATACCTAGCTAATGTAGAAAAGCACTTCAAAAATTGTAATGGCTCAACATGTAAAGTTCGGTGTTATACTTTACTACTTCCCTTTAATGTAAAACGATCGTTAAAAAAAAATTAAAAATGATGAATTTCTAATTATATTGTTATTTTATTTATAAAACTTCTTTTCATTTTATTCTCGAAAGGGTGGAGCTAATGCTGTTATTTGGGCTCAAATGATTCAAGGGTTCATTATGTTTATTACAGTTCTTCTTATTATTATATTGATTTTAGTAAGAAATAACATCGAAGATATTTTCTTGAAAGCAAATAATGGTGGAAGATTATACATAACTGAGTAAGTTTGTTAAAAATGCAATATTAAAAAATATTCATGTAACTGCTTATGTATACACAAATCCTATAGACAAATAATAATTTTCCAAATGAAAATCAAAACTTATTAAAAACTCAAAGTCAACGACACTTACTAATCAACGAAAGTGAATTATCAATTTTATTAACTTATGTATAGCTTATACATATGTATATTTTTAAATTACTTTTTTAAGCTTTCTATTTTTAGCATAAATTATACAAGTGACTTTAGAAATCCATAATCTCTTTTTTAGTTTCACGTTCGATCTTACTACCCGATCAACTTTCTGGAGTACATTATTAGGCGGTAGTTTTAATTGGATAAGCTTTCTTGGTGTTCAACCAATTTTTATACAAAGAATGTTATCACTCAAATCTATTAAAGATGGTAGAAAGTAAGTTATTATCCAGCTTAAAAGTTTTTTATTTGAAAATATTACAACTATAGACTTATTTCATTAAATTTTTTTGCAGTTCTTTAATAACATTCACAATAGGTTGTACAATTCTAACTGCAGGATTATATTTCATTGGTCTTGCTTTGTATTCAAGATATTATCAATGTGATCCTTTAAAAGCTGGTGTAAATATACATTGAAGTTTATTTTAAATTAAAAATATTTTTATTAGTCCTATATAGTGACATTAATATCGTATATATATGACCATAGGTAACTAAAGATTTAGTGACTTTCTTCGTGCAAGATTTGACGCAACATAATAAAATAATTTCAAGCTTTTATATAGCTTGTTTATTCTGCATGGGTATGAGGTAAACCATAAATTTGTATAATTATACATACATACATATATAATTGCTTCTACTATTCTCAAATGCAAGAATATAAGAAATTTTCTATTACGTACTAAGTTTTATATAAATTATAATATTCATTTTAAATATAACAATAAGAACAATATAATAATAAATGAAACTTTATAATATTTCTAGTACAATGTCTTCAAATTTAAATACTCTTGCTGGTGTATTATGTTGTCAATTTTACAATATGAATGATAAAATCGCAAATGAAACTAATTCAAATTACTGTATAAGCCGCAAATTTTCTAACAACAATGATGTGAAACGAACTGATTTGATTATAAAAACAATAATAATTGTTACCGGTATATATACAACAGTTGGGGCATTACTCATTGAAAAATTCAATTGGATAATAAAAATTGTAATTACCGCATCCGGAGTTACACAATGCTTTTTAGCGGGTTTATTTCTTTTCGGTATGGTATATCCAAAAGCTATAGGTGATGTAAGTTTACAATGTGCAATAAAATACATACATATTCTTTTTATTATATACAAAATTTCTTATAATAAAATAACAAAGGCTGCTTTTAGAGCAACCTACTTTACTATATGCATTTCAGTTTTAATTCAATTTGGCACATTATTGCAAAAATCAACAGGACTTATTCAAGATCATACATTGTCCAGTAGTTTAGAAAATTGTAATGAATTAAACAAAACAGCTATACTACAAAATTCTACTAATGTTTATGGAGATGAATTTAATACAGAACAAGGTGGTCCACTTTTCAAAATATCATTTTATTGGTATTCTTTCATAGCATCAGTTTTAGTTTGGATATTTGGCGTTCCGCTAAGTAAATTAATGAGTTATAAGAGAATTCATAAAAAGCTAAATCCAATGCTGATATCGTCTTTTGTTGCTAAATGGATTCCACAAGATAAATTGATTGATAATAAATCAAATTATGATTTCGAGCTAGAAATATTTGATGTACAAAAAAATTGAAATCTTAAATAATAATTTGTAAAATCATAAAAAAGTTGTTTTGTATTTTATAATATATGGGGCTAGTAAATGCTGAAGCTACGCAGGGCGCAGATGATGAAGCACTTTTTTCATTTATCATACAAGTTTAATTTTTATTAATTTGCTGCTGAATTTATGTAAATTTAATCAGAAACAATATACTGATACATAATATGGAAAATGAAATCAGGCAACAAAAAAAAAGTTCCATATCTATAGGATAAAGTATTGCAATTTTAATTCCTATATAGATGACAAAAATCATGCACATTCTTTTAGAAAGTATTCGGTAATTATAAAATTTGGAAAATGACTTACCAATGAAGCTTGAAAAGCTTTATATACACAGCTTTAAATATTCGAATTAAATTCATATTATTAGTTTCATATTCGAATTAAATGCGGAACTTTTAAATGCAGTTGTATTCTATCTTTAAAAACTGAAATATTGAAAAATTTATTGCAGAATGAAAACCAATGTGAATAAACGCATATAGTCATTAATAGAATTAAATTTCGGTTTTGTTAATCATATTTTATTTTCGATTTTATTTAAATATACATATGTATAATTTAAATGTTGAACGAATTATAATACTTATTATACCTACCTAAAATTTTTTATAAGTACATAAAAATTATTTACGTAAAATGTGCTTATACCATAAGTTCGACATACATACGTAACTTTGTTTTTATAGTTTTTTATACTTTGTTTTTATAAAAAGCAAAGAATAAAAGAACAATAAGCAAAAATATGCAAATATGTACGTCAATAAGGAATAAATTTATTTTTTTTTGGGAAAGCTATCAATATATTACATTAGAATGGTTACATAAGTATGTTAGTAAAAAGCTCTTAAAAATTTAAGAAATAATATAGCTATGTATGTATGTACATAATATCTTTAAATATTGACTATAATTCAATTAATTAATATTGACTAATAGTTATAACTAAATGTGTGTCATATTATATGGATCGTACGGTAACTCAAAAACAAATAAAGCAAATTTTCACAATTCGTTTCTTTCGTCCAAAGGACGGATCCTAATATAACTGGACCAATTCGGAGAACAGGTTTGCGTAAGTGCTATACAACTCAAAGAGATTATTTTTAATATTTCAAAAACTAAATATCAAAAACTAAAGAAAAATAGAGATCAAATTTTGTATGGATTTGTTCAATAATTACAATCTACTTATATAAGTATGTTCTGAAAATTTATATTGAATATCTGCACTTGTTCGAGTAGCTAACATACAACCCCAATAGCTACTTTTAAATATTGGGAAAAATAAAAAATTATATAAAACTAAAAATAAAACTTGGTAATCGTGTATCCTATTATAGGTCAGACATATACTTGAACTTTTTGTGTAATGGTTTGAAAGGTTCGAGTAATTGTCCTACAACAATGAGATCTAACTCTAAATATTTCAAAAACAATTTTTTATAATAATATTGTCAAGGTGCAGGGTATAATTCAGTCGATTTATACCGATTTAAATAATTGATTAATATTATATCAAGTTTATATCAATTAATTTATCAATTAATTACTTCACTTACACTTTATATCTTAATCTAAACAAATTTCGCCAGGAACATAAGTTAGGGCAGAGCTATTTAGTTAGAACTGCTAAGATTTTTTGTATTATAAAAAATATTTCCTTTTCCTATTTAAGACTCCAGAATCTAATAGACCACATTTTATTTTCAGTATATTCATGTATAAGTCCAATTATTTCCGTCAAGCAAGCATGAAATGGCTGCACATATTATATTAAATCGGCATACATATAGGTATAATGAATATTATTTTTTTATCAAAATAATTTTAAACTAACATTTAATTTCAAATAAATTATACCTTAACTCCAAATTGTTGCTTTTAAGTAATAATTTTAAGTTAGCAATTAATAAAATATTGTACTTTTTTGTTATATAAACGATTATACAATTTTAAATTGGGCGACTAAATATGTCATATATGTGAATATGTGTGTGTATACTTAGATCCAAATATTTGGATAAAATTAAAATTATGATTTAGTAGAAGCTATATCGCATAGATACACTTATTTTACAAAAGAGATGAAACAACTTAAAATTAAAGAGATGTGTTTATAGTAACATTACTTTTGAAAAATGTTTTTAGAAAAATATAAAGTCAAGAAGAATATGCTCTGTCAAGAAGTTTTAGATAACCTTCTCCATTGTTAGGATTTTGCAAAAAATAATCCATAATGAAAAATTCGTGATCACGTTAACTAGCTTCATCACATCATCATTACTTACCTCTGAAATTTACTTTGGATCTTTTCATTTTAAATTCAAAAAATTTTATAATATTTTACAACATGCTTAATTAATATTTCCATATTATTTAATCGCATGCAACTATAAACAATGAATTAATATAAAGCGAAACAATACAAGACAAGAAGATTACGTCATCAACAAAGTCGGAGTTTTAGTTGCACGTCGAAATTGGCTTCAGTTTTAAATACGTTTTTTTTTCATATTCATATATACACGCAAGTAAAACCCAAATTACAACTTATAACTTTTGTGATCAAGTACAATGAGTTGTAGTGGGAAAATATAAACTTAGATGAAAAAGTAATTTCATGTACACATATTTTATGTATATCTACAGAATTAAAGTGTTTTAATTACACAATAAATAGTCATAAAGTTTTCATTTGGCATTTTAGCAATTTCAGAGATTTTTCAACGAAATATTAGTCAACATAAGTTCTTTTTTTGTTATCCCTGGTTGAAAATGTATTATAGAAATAAGGTAGAGGTGAGCTGGAGACTTGGAGCAATAAGTATTCAATCAATCCTAAGCGGCTCCCTTTCACTTGAGAGTTAGAAAGAGGGCCTGAAGAGAGTTAACAAAAATATAAAACCATTTTTTACACAGTCAAAAAGGTATAAGTATAACTTTTATAGAGCTTTATACTATTTTCGTTCCGGAATATTTTGCGAAATTGATTGTCATTTAGCAAAATGATCTTAAAATTGTCATAAAATTTTATAGACTTTGTAATTTCGAGGCTCATACATCTAATTCTTTCCACTTTTCTTTAAGATTTTCTGAATTTAATTTATTTTGCGCTTTTTCTTATAGAACAATAAATGCATTTTGTTTAATTCCTTTTTTGTATTTTTTACTTTTTCCACAATTCCCTTTTTGTATTTTATTGCTTCGTTATATTCCTGAAAAAATCAAATTTATTGTTATTAATTGACACAAATACCTTTACCATACAATCAAATTATAAATATAGAAAAATAGATTACTTTTATCAATCTTCCTTTAAATAAAATTAAATTAGCTATATTGAACAAAAATATTTTATTTATTCATGCACATATGCATTCATATATATATAATATACACATATTGTTTACAAAAGATTCAACTATTTGTGTGTACTTTAACGCAGTATGCATATTTTTTATTTACTATTTTTATATAAAATAGAAATATAAATGGGACTTATGTTAAAAGAGGTGGATAATTTTATTTTTTATTTAGGAATTTTTAATAATTAATAAATAAAAGAGAAAATATATTTTAAGAACCATTAAAGAATATAATTTTAAATTACATTAAAATTTTAATATAAGAAAATTTCTTTTGTTTTGGAATAAAAATTAATCTATAAATTTAAGTATTAAAGGTCGGACATTTACTTTGCACACCTAAACATATAAAAGTCAAACGACTGAATGTCAAATATTTTATACATTTCACTCGTGTACTTATATCAAACCAAAAACTATTGTAATGAATTTTAACTGTTTTATAAACTTTTGGCACTTCGCCAACTGAATTTATGAAATTAGACGCGGTATTACAGATTAGAGAATTTTGCACACGTAAAATCTTTACGATCATTGAATGCATTTTAATGATATTTTTATAAAAATGTTTAAGAAGAAAATATTGCATCAATTTTTAAATTTATAAAAACAAAACTTAAAAAACCACACCTAAAAAAATTTCTGTAAACAAAAATTTTTTTACCAAATTTCACCTTTGATGTAAATATAAGTAGGTATTATGTATACAAATATGTACATTTGTAAAAACAATTAATTTTAATATTTATTATAGTAAAAACTACTGTCATTACATAACATAAAATTATTTCGATATATTCCTCTTTTTTTTTCACGAAAACATTTTAAATTAAAAATTATCTTGATAAAGGTAAAACCACATAGTAAATTCTTTTTCACATTAACAAGCTCAAAAATAATTCGTCTTTTATGATTTTGTTTTTTCGCCTTTTTTTTTTGTTTTTAAAAATTAGTAAATAATGCATTCAACAAGTGAGGTACTGTGATCGCATTAAATTCAAATTTTTAATTTTCAACAAAAATATATTTGGCTACAGTTATTATGAAAACGAAAATAAAGCAGTTTTGGTGAGATGTTGGTCGGTGTCAATCAAAAATGAATAAGGAAAATAAAAAAAAGATATCTTTAAAATCTAATTTTACTACTTCATATTATACTGTTATACTCCAAAATTATTATACTGTTATACAAATATTTTTGGTAAAAACCCATCGTGTATATTGAACTTTCACAGCGGCTGATTTTATATTTTTGATCATATCTAATGAAAATTGTTGACAAAAATTTTTCTGAAAAATCATATACTCGTGTAAGAAAGTTGACTTTATAGAACCACCATAATATGTATTTATTTTGGTACTTTAATTAGCTAATCTATATATAGTTACTAGTATTCTTAAAATATGAAAAAAATGTCTTTAATATTTTGTGCAATCCTTTCGCTTATAAAACTTTTAAAAATTAATTTATTGCAATTCGAATTTTTTGTTTAGAAAATATTCTGTATGCTGTTAACTATGTACTGGCCACATTAGATTTTTTGTTTTGTATTCATTTTAAATTTTATTATAAATTGATTTGAAATTCATTAACTTAAGCACAGAAAAAAATTCATTTGATGATATTACAAACAAATTTTAATATATAAATTTTTCTTATTTCGTTAATAATACTTTAACGAATACAGGTTAATGAAATGGTTATATTACAAGAAAACTGTATTGCTGATTTTATCATAGTCAACAACTTTAAAATCAGAGAAACGTGAATACATGTACTGAAATAAAATTTTAATAAATTTATTTTTAATTCTTCTGTATTATATGTAAACCATTAATATTGGTTTACATATAACACATTTAATCTTAAGAGACGAAATTGCTGAATTTTATTTTACTACTTGAAGTTAAGGGCATTTTCCTGAATATATATTTAAAAAATAAGTACATATTTACATATCTAATCATAGATATTTATAATAAATCGATATACAAAATATATGTATGAAAAATAGACTAACACATTTTCACAATAATAGTAATTTTCAATTGAAGTGAAAATTATTCAACCAACAGTATACCAACACTTTGTATCCAAAATTAGGTATACCAACACTTTGTATATTATATCATTTATACCACTTTTCAAAATTTCGTTATTCATTAAATAATAAATATCTTATGATAGTTATAATACATTTCAGTACTTTTTTTGAAATATAAATTTTTTGTTAGTAACTTTTAGCGATCCCATACAAAAAATAAAAAGCAGAAAACAAAGCTTAACAGACATCTAAATTTAAATACTAGTTTCAGTAACGATTAATACATTGTCGAATTCGCATGATCGTTCGAAAAAAAGAAAATTGAGAAAAAAATCAAAGTTACAATAAAATTTTAAAACATAACATTTTATATCGAAAAAATATCAAAATAAACAAAAATAAACAAAAGCTATTGTATGTGCTTGCTTTTTAAATACCTGTTCGAGGCTCTTTATTAAATTGAAATTGCACTTCATAAAAATTGCAAAAACTTTCTAAAATTTTTATACAAAAATTTAAAATAAAAATTGTATGAATAAATATATAAAGTGGATGTCAAATAAAATAGGAAATGAGCAATGAAATAGTAACAACAACAATATCACCCGAAATAGCAACATCCATTCAAGATGATGTTGTTCAATCAACCTTTGCAACAACAATAGCAACAAAAATAATAGAAATGATAACAACAGAAGCATCATTATTTGAGATTGTTATAAACAATGAAACAATCAATACGAATACGACACATGCTACTTTTGATTATTCAAAATTTTTACTAACTTATATTGATTATGGTGTTATCATTTTTATGTTATTATGCTCTACAGCAATTGGTATTTACTTTGGCTTTTTCAAAAAAAGTGAAAATACAACGGATGAATATTTAATGGGTAGCAAAAATATGAAAACGTGGCCAATCGCTATATCATTAATTGCAAGCCAATTATCGGCTAATTCAATAATAACAATGCCTTCAGAAATATATTCATATGGTTTACATTTTTTATGGTGTATCTTAGCAATATTTCCCGTTCTACCAATATACCTATATATAATTATACCTGTATTTTATAATAATAACATTACAAATTGTTACGAAGTGAGTAATTTTAATTGAAAATTTAATAATGAAGATCACATTAATATTTTTGATTTAATTGTAAATTAATACGAGTTTAATTTTACTTTTTGTTATTCTTTTCTATTGTATTTCATATTTTAATATTACTGAATTATAAAAAAAAATACAAATAATTATTGTGTGCAGTATTTAGAAATGAGGTTCGATAAAAAAACACGAGGTTTACTCACATTTGCATTTCTATTTAAAATTTATTTAATGATACCAGTTTATATATTTGTACCATCATTATCATTTTCGCAAGGTGAGTAAGTAATATATGAATTATATTTTTTTACAATACATTTACAATACGATCAAGCCCAAGGAATACTTAATAAAGTTTCATTAAGTACCGAAAAATAGGTACCAAAAAATATACTACTACGAAAATTTTTATTTTCTTCATTAATAAAATGTATTACTTTTATTTTAAACATGCTTATATAATTATAATTACGAATCTATTATAGAATTACAAATAATGGAACACAATACAACAAATAATTAAGTCGGTTGATGTTCTTTAGATCTAGCATATAACCAAAGTATTATAACAAGAAAATCACCTTTTTGTCACAAACTTTTATACAAAAACAGGTTCATTTATTTCACACAAAAACAATAAACCAAATATGTACACAAATATATGTACGTATGCATGTAGATATAAAGAAATTAATATTAATAATAAAAATCATTGTGTAAAATAATTTTTCGCTTTTATTAAGTTCTGAATTACTGTTTCCGAATACTTGTACAAGCAATTTGCGCATTTTTGTTAAAATAATTATTTATTGAAGTTTGAAACATACATGTACACACATTATGTATTTACATAAGTATTTATATGTTTCACGATTAAAAAACTTTTAATTCGCTTCTTCTTAAATAATTCAATATGCTTAACATTAGCGCTTATTTGAATAAATACTATATATAAATATATAACAGATGAAAAATTGGTGAATTGTTTAGATAAAAGGTTATTTTAAAAAATACACCTTATAACGTATTTTTCGAAATGTTCTTATAACGTATATTTTGCATGTATATGTATACTGTTCCATTAAAATTACACAAACAATAAAATGTACAATATTTTAATTAAATTAAATAAAAAATAACAGTTGCGATTTCGGAATTTCTAAATTGTATACCTATTTATAATGAAATATCAGAATAACATACAAGAAGGAGAACTTTGAAAATCATGTTATATCGAAACTATACGTTATACGAGAATCGGGTGTGCTTAAATTATGTACATATGTATTATAAAAAAATCGGATAAAGCCAATGAATTGTAAAGTAGAACATTTACAAGCGGAAACATTTTAAGAACCAGTAATTTATGTACATATTATTTTATATAAATATATATAATAATTACGTAAAATTGAAGATTTAAGAAAAAAAATATAAGTTACGATAATTTTTCTGCTAGCGGGTTCAACAGCTTATCAATCAGTTTAGTTTTAGCAATTAGTCAGGAGGGACTAGAAAAACATTTTCTTGTAGAAAATAACGGTTCTTTTGGATAGCTATTTTGTGCTTGTGATATTGTGATGCTGCTTCGATGATGCAGTATAGAAGAAGGAAACCTGTATTTTCCTGAGTAGAATCGGTATTTCTCTGAATTTCAATTGAGTTTGTATTTTCGAAGCGTTATAATGTCAAAGATTTTCATTTCTGGCGGTGGCTATATTTTTTCCTAAAAGAATAGATTTTTACATAAGTTTTTTGGATTTTGTAAGAAATTTTCAAAATAGACAGTTTCGGATTTTTTTTTAAATTGAATGAATGTCTGCTTTAAATAGCTTGCAGCATATAGAAGAAATAGATAAATTTATCAATGTCAGTAAGTACATACATACCTTAATTAAAAGTCAAGAATTAAAAGTCAAGTCCAAAACTAATTGAAAACAAGACGTGTGATTAATGTCAAGTAATTGTGTTTAATGTATATACATATTTTAGGTATTTTATGAATGTAAATGACCAAACTATGATATTATGTTATCATAGTGCAGGCATTTTAACGTACCCGTGATGTATGCACTATTGCACAATTTGTTTTCCGTTTTAGCGCTTTGAAAACCAGAGCAAATTTTTATATGTATTTAATACGTAATCAAAATACACACGCATTTGAAATTATTCGTTCAAATGTGTCCCCATCAATTCTTACTGTTTAATTGATAAACTAAAAAAATTATATCTTTGAATTTTTGGATTGGGAATGATTTATAACTGTTATCATTATTTTATCGTTATTATACCCTGCACTTCTTAAAGGGTATTTTCACTTTGGTATGGAGTTTGTAACGAAGGAGTCGTCTCCGGTATGGACATATATATATATATATATTCTTGCTCAGCGTAAAATTCTGCATTGATTTAGATATGTCCGTTCGTCCGTCCGTCCAATCGCACTTTAACTCAAAAACGAATAATCCAATCGACACCAAACTTTCATAAGTTTTTTATTTTTTTGTGCCAGCGATGACTGCTATTGAAATTGGACCAATTCGGTCAGCGGGTTTGGAAAATATTTCAAAAATTAATAAAGACATTAATATAAATTTTGTAAAGGTGTGTCCAATTATGTTCTACATATATTCTGAAAATTTTAGTGGAATGGCTGCACTGGTTCGGGAGCTGCCATACAACTCCGAAACTTAATTTTAAATATTTGGAAAAATAACAAAACTAGATTCATCAAATTCGGCAGTCGTGTGTCCGATTTCAGGTCACATACTTTTCTGAAGTTTTGGTGGAATGACTTGAAAGGTTCGAGTAGCTGCCATACAACTCCAAAGGATAATTTTAAATATTAAGGCTAGATTTATGAAGTTTCTATTGAGTGGTTTGACAAGTTTAAGTGATTGCCATTGAGCAATCAAAGTTATTTCTAAATATTTCAAAAACAAATTTTTAAACTCAGATTGTCAAAGTGCAGAGTATTATTCAGTCGGTTTATACCGACTGAAACATTTTTACTTGTTTCTAAATTGACTGCTGTAATAACAAAGACTTTAAAGTTTATGTTTTTTAAATTTTTTTTTATTTTAACAAATTAACAATGTGATGAAGAAAAAATATTTGGGAACGAAGATTTTGTGATTACAAACAGAGCTGTAATCTATAATTCGAGCACAATAAAAAATTAATTTTTTTATTTAAAAAATTAGTGAAATGTTTTTGGTCCACATTTTTGTGTGCACAATTCTGGAGCTCCAAGCTAGCCACAAAAATTTGCAAAGTAATTTTGAATTTTCAGGAGCCAACTGTCAACTTTGACATTATATTTTTTTCAGGTATTAGAATTTTGCTTTTTTCTTTTTAAGAGTTCTTTCTTAACTTTAACTAATTTGTTATTGCAGTATAGTTTGAAGGGAATTCATTTCAAATTGACTTTAGGAATTGAATGGAATGTTATCGTATTGTAACTTTAAATTTAACTGAAATTGTAAATTTTTAACATGAAAAACAAACACTGTAAAATAAGTTTTCATTAAAATTAAAATTTATTTTTTCTTTATAATTTAAGTTACTGGATTGAACTTACATCTTATAAATGTTGTGATATGCTCCATATGCGTGTTTTACACAATGATTGTAAGTTATTATCTATTAAAATCACTTCGATCCAAGAATAAAATTTAATTTTACATTAACCATTAGGGTGGAATAAAAGCAGTAGTTTGGACTGATGTTGTGCAGGCGTTCATTATGTTTGGTTCGGTTATAGTGGTAGCACTTTTAGCTATGCTTAAATTAGGATCTTTAGGAGAGTTATTTGAAAGGGCGAATTCCGGCGGAAGGCTATATATGACGAAGTTCTTGCACATTATTTTACAATGAATAAATATAAAATTTTTCTTTTCAGCCTCAGCTTCGATTTAACGGAGAGGACAACATTTTGGAATTGTTTTTTGGGTAGTATAATAGGGTGGATGAGCTACGTTGGATTAAATCAGAGTTGTGTTCAAAGAATTGTTGCTTTACCGTCAATTGATCACGCAAAAAGATCTTTAACGATCTTTACATTCGGCTGCTTTCTTACATTATCTTTGAGTTGTTTGACAGGAGTTATTATGTACGCTTGGTACTACGAATGTGACCCAGTAAAGGCAGGCGTAAGAAGTTACTATTGTATGGTATATATTTTGGAAATTTTAATTAAAAACTTTTTTAAGGTGGTGGAAAAATCTGATAAACTAATGCCCTTTTTTGTACAAGACATTATAGGCAAAGTAAATGGTATGCCTGGGTTATTTATATCGTGTGTCTTCAGTGCCGCTCTAAGGTAAAATTATTTTATTAGATCAACATTTTATTCCAACTAAAAAATACAAATTCGCAGCACAATGTCAGCTTGCTTAAATACATTAGCTGGTGTTATATATTTTGATTTAATTCGCCCGCATATTAAACATACAGAATCAAAAGCCAATTTTATAATGAAAATTATTGTTATTTTAAATGGTGTGTATTGTGTTCTTGCCGGATTTATAGTAGAACAATTTGATTCATTGTTGCAAATTGTATTTACAATAATTGGCGTTACACAAGGCTGTGTGGGTGGTGTATTTTTAATCGGAATGTTGTTACCGAAAGTGAACGCTAGAGTTTGTACCTTATTATTTTTAATTAATAACGCAATTTAAAAATTTAATTTACAGGCAATTTTTATAGCTGCACTAACAAGTTTTGCAGCCGTTTTTACATTAGCTGTAGGATCAACAATACAAATGAAGTCAAGATTATGGAAATATCAGCCACTCGACACAAGTGTGCAAAATTGTGAAAAATTATTAAATACGACACTTGTTATATCTGCAAAAAAATTTGATGAAGACCTGTATTCACATACTGAAGAATTTTCAATATTCAAAATATCTTTTTATTGGTATACAGTTATAGGTGCTCTAATCGTATTAGTAATATCTGTACCGTTGTCCATTTGTTTTAGACCAGCAAAAGAAAAGGAATTAGATATAAATTTGTTTCCACCAATTATTCATAGTCTTATTAAAGATAATAAAATAGAGAAAAGTATTGAAATAACAAAAATGTGATATATTATAAATTATTTAGTTCTCTTATATTACATAATTTTAATTTATGAATGTATGTATATAGCTACGTAAATAAATTTTATTGTACCATATAAAATCTCTAGTGTTATTCAAAATAACTTTAAATAATGAAATAATAGTTAGTGACCAAAAATAGATAACTAATAGACCACTTTTTAATTAGTTACCAGAAAATCAATGTGTGCATAAAATGTAGCATATGTACCTAAATATCAGTTATCCAATTATATTATAATTTTTTGATTTGATCAAAATAATATCATAATCATACAATCATAAACGATCACGTTTGATCATATCGTTTGATAAAGGTGATCAAATAATGATCACTCAAGATGTTTGATCATATTTTATAGCAAATTACATATACATATAATGCATATATATGTTACATGTATATGTTAAAATAGACTCTATTAATGTCTTTATATCTAACAAGTCCCAATGCTCAGAGAGAAACTTGAAAGCACACCTTATTTTATATGGCCTTTTTTAAATCGAAGTGGCTATTTTTTGAGAAGAAATATTAAAATAAATTCACACTTATTATAAAGCAGGTCAAATTTAGAACATATATTTGAAAAATCAAAAAAATATATTAATATTTTCATTGATAATTATTTTAAAATTTAAAAAAAAGCGGAAAAACAACAAACAGAACCTTCGCCTTCAACGTTTTATTTGTTACTGAAAGCATTTCATTATTTTTAAGTGAACAGCTTTTTTTTCTCATAGGGTAAGTTAACGCAAGATATGGGAAGTACCTGTGGTGTCAAGTTGAAAATATAATTAATGAAAGATAATTCTTAAATATTGATATAAATACATAGTAAAGAAAAAATTTGAAGAGGGAATTAGAAAATAATATCTAAAATACAATCAAATATTATTTGTTAAATACAAATTTTATATAAACTTCAAAATTTTACCTCTATTTTTATTTGAAAAAATATTAAAAACTTACTATCATTTATATCAATTACCTAAGAAAAAAAAATATTTAAAATGTTTGGAAAAAACAATCATATATTTTTATGACCGGATTTGAATATTTTTCTATTTTTGAAATAAATGGTATTTTACCAAATGACTCGAAAATTCCGACTGTAAAATAACAGGTATTTAAATTTTTGTTCAGGTATTTTAAAATTCTTTCCGTTTAGAATTAAGATAAGTCATACATACACATGCAGGGACATTTTATAAATAGATTGCTCTTGTTTACCTGCTAATAAAATATGAAAAAAGAGCACAGCAAAATTTTTGAAGCACTCAATATAACATGTTTGAAATAGTTTTAAAATAATTATTTAAAAAAAAATTTATTGGAAGTAGGTACATACATATTTATTTTTAATAATTTAAAAACTAACTGAAATTATTTGAAACAATTTTATAAGTAACGTATGAATAATCGAAATGAGATAATTCAAATTGTTGAAATGTGTCAACCTATATTACTTTTAATAACATTTTTGTTAGCCGACACTACTCAACTTACCTTATTGGGAAATACAAAATGTGCATAAAAAATCATACATCCTTCCTCATTAACATTTGAAACCATACTGAAATATGAATTTGAAATTTTTTTTCATTTTTTCTTTCCTCCTACCTTTCTTTCTTTTTCGTGCAATAGAATTTAAATGGGAAGCTTTTTAAAAAATGTGTATAATATCCTGAGATTTTTTAAAATATTAATCTCTTTTTTACGTAAAAAAAAAGAAAAAAATAATAAAAAATATGACACGATCAGTGGCATTTAAAGAAAAAACCAACAACGAGGCCAAAAATTCGTAACATTTCGTAAAAAAAAATTGAGTATTGGGACTTGTTAGATATAAAGACATTAACTCTATAATAAACTCCGTGCCTTATAGGAATTGGGAATCTAAAAGACATATGACTCGAAAAAGAAAGGTTTTTGCTTTTTTTAACTTCTCTGGTCAACTTTTTTGCAAATTAAGCTGGTAGGAGTTATGGATCCTAAGATATCAAAACTATACTTGACATTTTGTAAACGAATATGTGAACCACATGCATATAAATAATGTGCGCATATCATATACATATATGCATAATTATTTAAAACGTACAAGTACATTTTAAAATGTACATGTATATACAAAAACTGGAAATAAGGTTGTTTATGTTTCTGAAGGTTTCTAAGAATTTATATATAAAAATAAAGTTGGGTCAAACCAATGATTTGTATTGTAGCAATTTTCCCTTCAACAAGTGAAAATACTGCTTTTAAAAACAATCCTATTTATATAGCAATATTTTCATTCATATACGAGACTATGTACTTCTAGGGTTGCATATATTTCGGATGAAGATTTATCAGCAGCCTTTGAAATAAAGCAAAAATAAATTTAAAGAGGGGTTAACATAATGTTCGATTTTAAGGGTTAATTATTTGAGTTAGGAAAAATAATTATATTTTTCAATGGCAAGGAATTTGTCGTTAGCTTTCTGTGTTTCTAAAAATTGAAAAGGGTTGCGGTTTCGGAAGTATAAGGTACCAAGTATTCAAATTTTACAAATTTCGTGAGGCGATAAATTGAGAAGGGGTGAAAATGGAAAAAAATTTTCTTCTAATGAAATGAACTATTTATTAGTGTCTAATTTCAGACTTTTACAACCTGTGGCATAGAAGAAAAACGACATCAAATATTTGGAAAAAATGGATTTTAGATAACGGTAAACTTTAACAACCATTTTGTTTTTCTGAAGTTCAAGTATGGTATGCCGCGATAGAGGAAGCAGCCCACTGCTTTTCTGTGTTTGCAAAATTTGAAAAATTCACATGGTTCCACTACAATAAATAATTGAAGAATAGTATTTTTAGAGTTTTGGGGGGATATAATTGTTAGAGGGGGAGAGATATGTAAAAATTTTGTTCTACAGAAATAAGTTTTAAAGCTCTATGCACATATTTCAGTTTTCTATCTATGCACAAATTTGAGCTTTCTATCTTTAAAGGTGTAGAAGTTTTGTAAACATGTAAACGGACGGACGGACTGACGGGCGGACGGGCGAACGGAGAGAAACTAATAAGCACTTTTTTCCAAAAATTAGTGCTAATGTGATAGGTACTATATTATTAAGAAGACTTATACTACGTAATTTTTATATGCCTTAAATGTATTTCGCTGTAAACAAAATTTTATTGTCCTACATATAGCAGAACCTACAATTTTGCCTAAAATAAGGTTAAATAAGGAATAGTTTTTGTAATTTTTGGAATCAATTTTTAAAAAATGGAATAGCTGGTCATATACACAACTCCTTTTGGCATTTTGGTGGAATGTTGATCTTGTTACAAATTAGGTGAATTTCAAACTTGTTCTAAAAATTTTAAAATTTTCGAAAAAATTTATTATTATTTGGAGTACGGACTAATGGACAAACAGTTAAGTTGAAACTAAGAAAGAATATACATGCAAACATGTTTATAACTCAGATCACCATTTCTTTATGTTACAAATCGAGTGTCGAATTTGAAATATTTTTTAAAAATACGATTATAAAAAGAGGTCAAAATACTCAATTTTTGTTTTATTTTAATATTATATTTCATTTCATTTCATAATCGATAACAAATTAATGCAAACGTATATATATGTATGTACATATAGGAAATAACAGGAATATTTAAAATGAGTAAGTATACACATATATGTTTATTTCATTATGAGTATATAATAAAATTATTATCATTATTAATGAATGGAGAATTCCTATAATTGATAATTTTAATTATATTGAACTTTTTATTTTATTTATTTTAAATTCATTATGGCTTATCTGATCTTGGTGATTCCCAAATTTAAATGAAATTATTATATGTGTGCATTCTTATGTAGCACACATGTATAAACAAATATGGATGTAAACATAAAATATAATATATTACAAAATGTACATATATTCTACACGACCCTTAGTATATAATTGATATTTATTTGGCCTTGTAAATTTACTACATAAGATTATTATACATATTATTTAAAATAAAAATTTATTTTGCTTCTTATTTAACGTTATGAAACTCCCACACTCTTTGTTGACACATTTAAACTAAATTCGTATATATGTACATACATAAATGCATATGTATGTACATATAAGTATGGCTATAGTAAAAATTGTACTTTTAAAGTACCACAATTTTTAGATGTTAATATATTGTACTTTATTTATACTTATAAAAATAAATCTTGTGAACTAGATTTATTGTGTAAATTTAATAAAACTAATTTATCTGAAATTCATTTAAAATACATTTAAATTATTATATGTGTAATATTTATTTTATTTTTTTTTGTTATTTCATTTATTTAATTAAAAAAAATAATAATTGTTTATTTAAATATTAAAGTTATAAAATAAAGATAATGTATACATATTTAAATTTGTACTACATACATATTTATTTCAATTTGTACATATCTTGTATAGAACAAATAAAACAGTAAGTAAAATATAAAACAGAAATAATGCTCTTTTTTTTTAAAGCCATCACAAGAAATCTCGAAAAGAAAGATTTTAGATTATTCTGGCTTATTTCGCATTCATCAAGTTTTCCTTAATTTCCAATGAAGAAGCGCGCATATTTTATATGTACACAATATTCATATTTTAAACGAGAAAAAGTTTTAATTACAAAAAAATTATTCAAAAATAAATTTAATTAAAATTAATTTTTTGTTATACAATTTGTTATATTCTCTATTGTGCCTATATTATTTCAGTTACTGGCATTTATTTCAGTTTTTTTTTTTTTTAATTTCGATTAATATAAATTGAAAAAGTATCTTGAATTTTGAAAATAAAAGTAAAATGGCAGCTACTAATGAAAGTGTTTCAGAAAATGTTGAAGAAATTTCAAAATTTGTATTTAATATAGTGGATTACACTCTGTTTTTAATAATGTTATGTATATCAGCTGGTATTGGTATTTATTTTGGTTTTTTCGAAAAGCATGCCGATACTACCGATGAATATTTAATGGGTAGTAAAAAAATGAAAACTATACCGATAGCGATTTCATTAATTGCAAGGTGCATTATTACAGTTTCTTTTAAGGAAGACATTGTTTGAAATTTTTACTAAATTGTTAAAAATCTTAATTATAAAAAATCAAATAAAGAATATAATAAGAAAGTGTGTTGTTATATATTATACTAATTTAATGTTTTTGAATTATAGTCAATTATCTGCTCTTTCCATTATGACAATACCAGTTGAAATTTTTTCATTTGGATTACATTACTTTTGGAGCCCTTGTGCAATTTTAATAATAATTCCAGCTTTAAGTTACGTTATTGTACCAGTATTTTATAACAATAACATTTCAAATTGCTATGAGGTAAGCTAGAAATTTTTTACTAATTTAAAGAAATGTAATAAAGTATCAATAATATGAAAAAAAGTAATATTATGTATATTGCACTATTACACGTGTATATATTATTACGGAGTAATATAATATTTTTTAAGCTCGGTAAAAATCCATTTTTCTATAAATAGGTCGCAAGCGTGAATAAATCTCCTTTTTCGTTTACTACTAGCAAAACAATTCAAAGTGAAAAAATTTGAAGAATAATCAGTTATCACAACTTTTCAAACCAACAAAAAAATGTTTTTGATGGGACTCTCTACTTTATAGACACAAATATAGTTAAATAAAATATAGTTATTTTGTACAAAAAATTGTTTTTTTTTCTCTTTGTTATTTATATTAAACCTTTGAAGCTTAATTTATTGCCCTAAAACAACGGTAGAGACAGGTCAGACAAAATGAAGCTACTTGGTTCCGTTTTCTAATAAAGCTAATAAGTCCTCATGTTACAAAAACGGTATTTAAAAGGAATCAAAGTTTATTTTTAGTATACACGTATTTATTATTTTAAAAAATATTGCAAACAATTTACAAATTCCGAATTTAACAAGGTCTTAATATAGGAAACATATTTCAACACGGGATCTGAGTGGGTTATTGTTTATGTATTTTTTTTTTTTTTTAAATATTTATTAAATTATTTTCATGATTAATTTTCTTACCTGATCACGGTTCCTCGATGAAAAAACAAAAATAATGCTTTGATTTTCAATTGTAATTTAATTTGTGGGAAAAATTATACATATATGTATGTAAAGTGTATTATGTATTGAGAAAAACTTTTATGATTTTGTTATTTTTATTTGCAGTATTTAGAGATGAGATTTAATTCAAAAATTAGGAAAATTGTAACACTGTCGTTTATCATTAAAGTATACTTTCTACTACCTGTTTACATTTTTATACCATCATTAGCATTTTCGCAAGGTACTCAAATATATTATTTTTTGCAAAAAAAAAAAAATTATTAAAACTTGTAGTTACTTGTTGTTAAATTTACAGTGACTGGATTCAATATTCACTTAATAAATATAGTTGTGTGCTCTGTTTGCATTTTTTATACGATGGTGGTAAGTATAGGTGAAATACAACATAAAACTATATTTACTTCATTTTCATATGACTGTCAAGATTCGCTAAAGTTAAATTAAAATAAACTCCGCTGTAAATACTGAATTATGTAACAAATTAACATCCTTAAAAAAGAATAAATACGATTGATTAATCAAGTTCTTTTCGATTTCCATCTATGTGTGTTAATAAATTCATTTACAATTATTAAATTAATCTTTAGCAAACCTCTTATCGCAAACTGTAGAATCTATCTAAAACAAAATATTAATATCTAACTACAAAAAACTAAATATGTATCTGAAAAAAAATATAATTATTGTTTAGGGTGGTATTAAAGCTGTTGTATGGACAGATGTTGTGCAAGCACTCGTAATGCTTGGTTCTGTTGTTTTAGTTACAGCATTAACGATAATTAAGATTGGAGGTTTTGAAGAAGTTTTTTTCAGAGCTAGCTATGGGGGACGGCTTTACATGACTAAGTAAGTTTAAATTAACAGAAAATTACGTGAAAATTTAAGCGCTTTTTTTTATTTCTCTTTTATATAACTTTTGCTAAATTTTGCAGCTTTTCATTTGATTTAACAACGAGAGCAACATTCTGGAATTGTTTTGTAGGGTCGCTCTCTTCATGGATGAGTTATGTTGGTGTCCACCAAAGCTGCGTACAACGTATTGTTTCATTACCATCTTTGAGTCATGCAAGAAAGTAATTTAATTAATTTTTGAATATAATTATTTAACGAGCATTGTTAAATTTTTTCTTAGTTCTTTGATACTATTTGGCGTAGGTTGTTTCTCATTTTTAGGTCTTAATGTTCTTACTGGTATCGTTATGTACGCCAGATATCACCTATGTGACCCAATTAAAGCTGGCGTAAGTGAAAAAGAATAAAATCAAAAGAGAACCTGTCATACTAATATATATATTTAAACACAATGAATTGAATTCATAAATTAATTAAAATTCTTTTTTGCACTTTTAGTTTGTTGATAAAGCTGATAAATTAGTTCCATTTTTTGTTCAAGATGTTATTGGTCATTTTACTGGTATGCCCGGACTGTTTATATCAGCTGTATTCTGTGCTGCATTAAGGTAAAATATATTGATGTTATATTATATACATATGTAGATGTAGCATCGATAAAACAGAATATCGATGTTGTAAATTTTGTGGTTGCCATATTTTAAACAAATAAATCATAATTGTTATAGATGGTTCAATATTATTTATTTTTAGTACAATGTCTGCAAATTTAAACACTTTAGCTGGATTAGTTTATTTTGATTATATAAAACCCAAAATTAATCATACCGAGAGTCGAGCTAATCTTATAATGAAAACAATTGTTGTTTTTAATGGAATATATTGTATCTTAGGCGGTTTTATTGTTCAAAAATTCAATTCGATTTTTCAAGTTGTACTGACTATTAGTGGTGTAACCCAAGGTGCTGTTGTTGGTATTTTTTTACTTGGAATGCTCTATCCTAAAGCACATTCAAAGGTTATTTTCTTTGAATGAAAAATCTGTATTTTTTAATTTTCTTTCAGATCCTGTAATATTTATACTTTTGAGATAATTTTTTATACATTTGATTTATTATCACAACAATAATCGATATTTATTTTACATGCAGGCTGCTCTTGTTGGTGTTATTTTAAGTATGGTATTTGTTGCCACGATAGCTGTTGGAACTCAAGCTCAGTTGAAAGCTGGTCTTTTTAATTATGAAGTTTTACCAACTAGTATCGAAAGATGTGAAGAATTCAACTCAACTTTAAAACTAAATTATGTATCACCGGTAAAATTTCAAAACGAATTAAATCCAGAGGGCGACGTTTTCAGTATTTTCAAAGTATCTTTTTATTGGTACAATTGTATGGGCAGCGTATTAGTATGGTTATTTAGTGTACCTTTAAGTCATTTAATACCTAATAATGAAAGTAAAAAATTAGATCGTAGTTTACTATCACCTGTCATTAAGAGATTTATTCCTAAAAATAATTACAAAAGCAATGTGGTTGCAAAAGTAATAGAAGAAATCCCATTAAGGCAATAAGTATTTGAAAAGAAAATTACTGTTTGATTATGTTATATATATATATAAGATTAAATCATATTAAATTAAATATAAAAAAATCAAAAACTTTGCAATGTAAATTTAATTCATGTTGTTAACACTCAGTTCAATATTTTAAATTTTTAAAGTTCTCTAGAAAAGAAAGAGTTGTCAGCGTTTCAACTTTTAATTAGAAATTTCTTGAATGTTTTTTAAATTTCTTGAATGTTTTTTTTTTTATATAAAATCATGAACATAAATCATAAGTTAAAAGCTTATTCAAATAGTCTATGTTAAAGCAATTTTCATATCTGTAATCAGAAATAAATCCTGTACACACCCCCAAATCATGTTACAAAAAAATTTTGATTATTTTAACTTATTATCACTAAACTTAATATTTAATTAAATAATCAACAAAACCCGTACGTATATTATTTATGTATACCCATGTATTTATATAAAATCACGGTATCTTTTTTAAGTAAATATGAAATGAGGGAAAATTTTTAAGATCATTTAAACTGAAAACCTACTATATAAAGAAAATAGAGAAGAAAACATCGATAATTTCGTTTTTAAATAAACTTTTTTTATTTGTATTTTTGATAAGATTATGTCGCATAAGATTCTAATTATATTTGCTATGTATGTTAAGAGCAATTCATTTCTCTTAATTTATACATTGTTCCTTTAATCTTACATTGTTATTAGATTTCAATTGTATTTCTATCTATACAGAAGTGATACTTTTCTCTAAAGTAAAAAAAAATAAATTATTTAAGTGAACAAAAATTTTTAAAATGCATAGTATTAAAAATTTAACGTTAATTAGAACCGATGGTGACTCTTTTGATTTGTCAAAATTTAATTTTGATTCAATAGATTTTTTTTTGTTTGGACTTATGCTGACAATCTCAGCTGCAATCGGTGTATATTTCGGTTTTATACAGAAGGGCGAAAATACAGCTGAAGAGTATTTAATGGGCGGAAGAAAAATGAAATCTATACCGATTGCGGTTTCTTTAATATCAAGTCAGATGTCAGCGATTGCTATAATGACAATTCCAATTGAAACATATTTGTATGGTATGCAATATTACACGATGCTTTTATCAATACTATTAGTGTTACCAATATTGCTATATATTATTGTACCAATTTTTTATAATAACAACATATCAAATTGTTACAAGGTACATAAATATTAGAATTTTATTTAGTTAGATATATTTAAACTATCAAAGACTTAAGCTATCAAAACTATTTCGTATTGGGCTTCGATGTGGATAAATTGTATTATGCACATATATATAAAAAGAAACGATAAAAATTTAACTGAGAAATTAGAAACTAAAATATCAACTTTCGTACAATATGCTTGTATTAAATAAATAATATTTTTTAAAATAAAATTTCTAGTATTTAGAATTGAGATTTGATAAAAGGACACGAGAAATTGTTACTATGACATTTTTATTAAAAATTTTTTTACTAATTCCAATTTATATATTTGTACCATCATTGGCATTCTCACAAGGTAAGTTTCGTTATTAAATGCTAAAAAGTAAATACCTATAAAATATACAGGTTTTCAATACATCACACGTGTGTGTGTGCATGTAAACAAAATGATTTTTGGAGAACATTATTTTGAAAAATTAACGAACAAATTTAGAAAACATAAATTAAAAATATTTAATTTTCAAACTCTAAAGTATACATATTTCACTTTCTGTTCAACAAAAATGAGATAAACAAATGAATAAGAAAGTTAAATTAAAAATATTTCTAATTCTTTAACCCACATTTAATAATTCAAAAAACATATGGTTTATAATAATAACTAATGCATTTAATGAAGTAGTTATATAAAAAGTTATATGTGTCTTTAACAATACATATATATGTATTCATGTAAAATTTTAAACAAATTTTATCAAAATACAAACCTAATCAAGCTAATGAATAAGTTTTGGTTTGCTTAGCTATTCACTAGCTTGATCATTTAAAATTTGTCACTATAACTCATTATAGAATGTCCTTAAAAACATCTACCTACGGCATAATAGGCTTTCAATTTAAAACTATTGCGAAAATTAGATGCAATAAATAATTAATAGTTTCTTGAAAAATTAGTTCACTTCAATTTCTTCAAATTTCTCATATACACATGAAAGTGGTAAATATCTACACTCCACACTGCTGTAGAGTCTACAGCATTATGTGGAATGAAATTATTTACCTAAATTTAAGTAAAAACAAATACTGTTGTTAAAAAATGAAAAGTTTATTTCAAATATTTTTACTTTATATATTTGTTCATGTAGTAACTGGAATTAATATTCACCTTATAAATGGAGTTGTTTGCTCGATTTGCATATTTTACACAATGCTGGTAATGAATTTATAATTATTGTTGGAAACACTTATATTGTAGCGTTTTTAAGGGTGGAATAAAAGCGGTAGTATGGACAGACGTAATCCAAGCGACAATTATGTTATTTTCAGTTTTTTTAGTAGCAATATCAGCTATATATAAAGTTGGTGGTATTAAAGAAGTTATTGAAAGAGCTGAAGCTGGAAGTCGTTTGTATATGTCAAAGTAATGCTTTGAATGTGTTGAACTAAACCAATACTTATAACTTCTGTTTTAATAAAATGCCATTTAGTTTTACTATAGATTTAACAACACGTACTACTGTTTGGAATACATTATTAGGTGGCACTGCACTCTGGATTAGCCATATTGGAGTACATCAGAGTTGTGTTCAACGAATAGTATCATTACCTTCTTTAGCTCAATCCCGAAAGTATAGTATAAAATATAAAATTTTAAATTTAGACATTTTTCAATAAATAAATTTAAGTTTTTTCCTAGAAGAAAAAACATTCAGGTTTGATAAATTTTTTTTATAGATCTTTAATAATTTTTGCACTAGGATTTTTTCTAATAATGTCACTGAATAGTTTTACCGGTATTATTATGTATGCACGTTACTATCTTTGTGATCCAATCAAAGCTGGGGTAATAAATTTTGAAGCTAAAACTTTTTCTTAATTTCTTCGTAATAAATGCAATTTACTTTTATAGATAGTGGAAAAGCAAGATAAGTTATTACCATTCTTCATTCAGGATACAATAGGTCATATAAAAGGAATGCCAGGAATTTTCATTTCATGTGTATTTAGTGCAGGTTTAAGGTAATATCCACACATATAATTTTAAATGTTATCATTAAATTTGATTAATTTAAAAAAACAAACAATACAGTACAGTTTCAGCTAATTTTAATACTGTCGCCGGAATAATTTATTTTGATTATATTAGTCCTTCCATTAAAAGTACCGATGTTGACTTAAAAGCGAATTTTTACATGAAACTAATTGTCGTCGTATGTGGTATATACTGCATTTTAGCAGGTTTTGTTGTAGAAAAATTCGGATCTATTTTTCAAATGACACTAACAATCAGCGGAATTTCACAGGGTGCTGTTGCAGGAACATTTCTTTTAGGAATGTTAGTACCCATTGCCAATGCTAAAGTATGTATATTAGCTATACAACAAAAAATACTTATATATGTGATAAATTTTAAATGTTTTAGGGTGCATTTTATGGCATTGTGGGCAGTGTAACTATCGTTGGTTTTATAGCCCTTGGAACCCAATATCATGCTTTAAAAGGTCATATTAAATATCAACCATTACCTGTTAGACTGGATGGGTGTAAAAATGAGTTCAATTTCACATTAACAAATCATCAAATTTTTAGGTATATAGAATTTAATTACTAACTGCCATTTTTCATAAATGAAAATATTGACATAAATTTTATGATATGTAGCTATTCTTATTTCAGTATTAATGATGTGGCAAATTCATCAATACCAGAAAATATTTTCATATTACATAAAGTTTCATTTTATTGGTACGTTTTCTTCGGTTGTGTTTTAGTATGGCTAATAGCAATACCATTTAGTGTAATATGTAAAGATAAAAAGAGCAAGATAAATATAAATTTGTTCTCACCCGCAATACAAAAATGGATACCGAACAATATGTTGTCAAATCAAGAGCAAAACATTATAGAAGATGAGCATTTATTACGTAATAAAAATTTGAGGATTGTACAATAACACTACCATATATAAATTACAAGAACATGTATAAAGAAACTATGGTAAACCACTTCATAAAGTTACAGTTAGAAAAATTTCGAATTTTAAGCTTTATATCTTAATATACTGTAAGATTTTTCTTTTTCAATTAGAACAATATAAGTACATTAGAGCAATTAAGAACGGAAGTTTTATCTTTGTTACTTAAATTTTATAAATTATTGTGTGATTGCTCGACAAATATAAGTTAATTTTTATGAAAAGTATTCTTTCTATTACAATTTATTTTAAATTTAGTGCACTTGCTATATAACATATTATGTATACATCATAGTAGAGTATTTTTTTTTTTTTGCAATTCAAAAAACATGGAGTATACATATACAGATGATGTCCTGAACTTCTCTCTTTGATTTACCCTGCTTTTCCTGTTATTAGTCCACAAAATTAATTCAATAAGATCAAAATGTGATCCCAGTTCAACTAACTATTTGATTTTTTAGATTTTATCTAAGCAAAATCTAAAAAAAATACCTTATATTAACGTTGCCGGTGAACGACAACAGCGGCGATTTTTAAGTTTGTTGTTAAGTCCGAACAAGAGCGGTGCGGCAAAATCAACTATATAGTATTTTGCATATAATGTCACATACACATGGAAACAGATAATGTCAAAGAAACCGCCAACAATCCCTTTTAAATATATGTGTATAAAATATAAATTCTGGCATTTCGCCACGGTAAATCGCTCTTGTTCTGTTTTTAACCTGCAGTTGGAAACCTTAAAAAACCTATTATTTTTGTTACTTATTAATTTTACCGAATTAAGTGTTATTAGATTGGAAGAGAAAGAATGTTGTATATTATTGTTGAAGTTATATAATATTATATATTTTGTTTCAGCGTTTAATTTAATACAACAATATCTCTTTCCTATGTAAGGATTCTTTATTAATATTTGAAAATTCTAAATAAAAGCTAAGTTTTAAATTTAATTTGAGACTTTTTTCAAATATAGTTTTATTTTATAATATATTTTATTTTTAAAAGAATGCAAAATAAATAAATTAAATACAACAAAATATTTCTTAAACTTATCTGGATCTTCTATAAATCATCACATAAAAAATTTTTATGTAAAAAGCAAATCTAACTATTCTTGTTATTGTCTTCTTACAATATTCCTTTTAAATTTAATTTTATTCACCATCACCAAATTTTCCGTCTTTCATCGGAATTTCATTATATTTTAATAGTAATTTTTTGGGTATCCATTTTTGTATAACTGGTGACATTAAATTTAAATCTAATTTTTTATCCTTTTTATCCTTTATCAAAAGACTATAAGGAATTGCAAAAACCCAAACGAGTGTGCAACCCAAAAATATATACCAGAAAAATGAAACTTTAAATAAAAGAAAAACATCGCCTTCATATGTAATGCCTTCTTTTGTTGAATGTAAAACCCTTTATATACGAAAAAAATTTTATAAATAGATATTTTTCTATAAAGTTTTAATCAAACTTTTTCCTTACTTAAAAACATGTTCGGAATTAAATGTTACATTAAATTCTTCTACACATCCTTCGATATTACTTGGTAAAGAATTATATCTAAGATTTCCATTTCTAACTTGGTATTGTGTCCCTATAGCAACAAATCCTACCGATATCATACTAAATATTGTACCATAAAAAGCACCCTATAATATAGGAAATAATATATTTCTAATCTCAATAAATAAGAAAGGGTACACACTTTAGCAGTTGCATAGGGTACAAGCATTCCCAATAAAAATACTCCGGCTACCGCTCCTTGTGTCATCCCAGTTATTGTAACAGCAATTTGAAATATAGATTTAAATTCTTCAACAATAAAACCAGCTAAAATGCAGTATATACCACATACGACGACAATTAGTTTCATATAAAAATTTGCTTTTAAATCAGCATCGGATTTTTTTATGTGACGGCGAATATAGTCAAAATAAAGTATTCCTGCAACAGTATTTAAATTGGCTGAAACGGTACTAGAAAATCGAAAACAAAGCTGTATTACTATTTTAAAAACATTTATAGTACACATTTGTAGTACACAAATTTTTATTAAAAAATATTACAATTTACCTCAAAGCTGCACTGAATACACATGAGATAAAGATTCCAGGCATACCTTTTAAATGACCAATAGTATCTTGAACAAAAAAGGGCAAAATCTTATCTTGTTTTTCTACAATCTAAAAAATTGAAAAAAAGCACTGCTTTCATGCAATTAAATATTTATTATTTAAAAAATTTACTCCAGCTTCAATTGGATCACAAAGATAATAACGAGCATACATAACAACACCAGTTAAACAGTTCCATGTCATGATTATAAAAAATCCAATGGCAAAAATTGTGAGAGATCTGAAATACGTAATTTTATTACCATGTTCTTTCAAGAATATTTAAAAAAATTTAATCACTTTCTCGACTGCGTGAGTGTGGGTAAAGAAACTATTCTTTGAACGCAGCTCTGATGTACTCCGATATGGGAAATCCATTGGGCTATACCACCTAAAAATGTATTCCAAACTGTTGCACGTGTTGTAATGTCGAAAGATAGACTTTTTTTAAGAAATATATTATTTAAAACTTCGTTTCTGTAATTTCTTTCAGTTTTTACACAAATTCTCTTACTTTGACATATATAAGCGATTTCCAGCTTCAGCTCTTTCAATGACCTCATTAACACCACCTACTTTAATTGTAGCTAAAATTGCTACTAAAATGACTGAAAATAACATTATTATTGCTTGAACTACATCGGTCCAAACAACAGCTTTAATACCTCCCTAATTAAATTGAAAATGAAAGAGAATTATTTCATTTTAATTAATGGATAATTTTTTTCATTAGCCTTACCAACATTGTATAAAAAATACAAACGGAACAAACAACTCCATTTATAATGTGTATGTTAATACCACTAACTACAAAAAAGATTACTATGTTTTTAAAAAGAACGAGTATATCATTGCATAAGATTTATATAAATAAAATATTTACATACATACGTACATATACGAAAACTATACAAACCAATTGCACTGGAATGGGGTTGGTTTGTTTATTTTTTTTTTAGTTCATGTTAATTAACAGTAACGTTAGATATCACTTTTAAAATATTTTAGCTTCTCTTTTCGCATAAATAATCTTTATAATAATGCTTTAAATTTACCTTGTGAAAAAGCTAAAGATGGCATAAATATATAAACTGGAATTATCAAAAATATTTTCATTAGAAAAGCAATTGTAACAATCCTTCTTGTTCGTCTATCAAAGCGCATTTCTAAATACTGCAACATAGATATTTAATATAATTAACTAATTTATTTATGAAAGTTTAATAAAAACAATGTAACGCACACTGTACTTACTTCATAGCAATTTGATATATTATTTTTATAAAATACTGGAACAATAACATATATTAAAGCTGGCAAAACGGGTATCATTGCCAGTACCTGCCAATAGTAATGCATCCCAAATGCATATGTTTCAGCTGGAATTGTCATTATAGCAATTGCTGATAATTGACTCGACACCAAAGAAATAGCAATTGGAATTGCTTTCATTTGCCGTCCACCCATTAAATATTCTTCGGCTGTATCTTTACGTTTCGCAATAAAGCCAAAGTAAACACCTATTGAAGCCGAAATCATGAGCATAATTCCAAATAACGCATAATCAATTATACCGAAATTCAATTGAGAAATGTCAAAACCTTTTGTCATAGTACTAATATTTTCAGCTAAATTTTTTATTTCTGTCATTGCGCTGCTTTTTTTTTATTTTATTTTTGTATTATTTTTCTTATAAATTACAACTATCTTAAAGCTTGTGGAATACTTAAATGCATAGCAAAAAAATTTTAAATGAATGAAAAACTTTCCATAAATTTTCAATAAAAACTCAGTATATACGAACTTCTTATCTCAAAACAATAGGAAGAAAACATATTTGAATTTTGAGATTTACTTAATACATATACATACATACATATAAATATTTATACGTCAAATGGAGTCACACTGTCCTTAGATTTAAAACGTTAATAATAGTATAAAAAATTGCAAATTACATTTTGAATAATTAAAAATCTCAATGTGGTTGATTATCGTACCAATTAATTGTTTATGCGATTAACTGATAAAAATTTCTTCATACAGCTGCAGAGCAGATGGATAACGTAATTAAAGTAACGTGTTAAATTTAAAAAAAAAATTTTTTCGTCGAACTGGACTCGAACAAGTCACATAACGCTTTTTAGTCGGACGTTCTACCAACTGAGTTACAGAGGTTTGAATAAATTGCCGGTAAATTGTTTTTCATACTGCTTTATATGGTAATACACACAGCCACTAAGCATTATTTACATAAGATGCTAAATGCTAAAGCTAAAGAAACTTTCTTCATACAACTGCAAAACAGATGGATGACGTAATCAAAGGGGCAGGAAAATTATCAATAAGTATGTTTTAAATGTAAAATTAATAACGTTAGATATGCGAAAAAAACAAATATTCTTCATCATGTTTCCTACCCAACCTGATGTTTTTTTGATTTAATCAAATTGCGACTTTGATATTTACGAAAAACTCCAATTGTCTTGTCCTATGATTTTGAGGAAAACATTTTTTTACTTTACATTTTTATATAATCCAAAAATTTTATTATACCCCATAAATCTCTCCTGCACCAGTAGTACACATATGTTTAAACTGTATTTAAATTGAAATAAATAAAGTGATGATGTAAAGAATCTCAAACATATTTGCATATATACATCTGTTATAATAACGACTGATGAAATTTGACTTTTATCTCTAATTCAAGATAAGAACATTAATTTAATTTTTGCAGATAAATTTATATATGTATATAGGTGCATAGTTTACATAGTGTAATATATACACAGTTTGGTAAAAACATTTTAATGTTTTATTAAATGTTGATCAACTGCATACAATAAAACATTAAAATGTTAATTCACAAAATCAAAATTAAATACCTTAAAGTTATACCCATGAAAACGTAAAATACCATATAAAATTAAAGTTAAATACCATGTACTCATGAAAACGTAAATTGGGCTCTTATTAGAGGATCAAAGTCTGGTTTTCTTAAAAAATATGTTAGACATTTTTTTGTTACCTAACAAAATTTTTATTTTGCATTTAAGCTCTTAATGTAAGTCTCTTTTATGCTCTTAAAAACTTGGAAAACAATCAGTAGTTTCCAACATCTAATTATGCTCAAATCCTTTTGGTTCGACATATAATTAAACAAAGCTCATTTTCCTAAAAATTATTTAAAATAGAAATTCATCCCGTTGTCAAGTAAGGTTTGCTGATTAGAGAAACTGAGACAGATCAGTGTACGCACAAACAGACAGACAACTTGTTGAAAAACAGTTCTTTGTATGACTCAGCAGTTCGTGTGACTCTAACAGTTGGTATGACTCTCAATATTTTAAATGTTCTGGTGTTCACAATACCTCGTTTAACTGTATGCAACACGGTCGCTATAGAAAGTTAAAAAAATTAATTATTTTGGGTACTCGTATAACATAGAACAAAAATACGCAGAAAGATCAGCATAACCTGATTTATAACAACCTTGTGTGAAAAAGTTAATTTTTATTGTTTTTTATTAAATTTTATCATAAATTTTAAATAATGAGCAGGATATTCCTGAAATGTTTGGAAATGTTTAGTAGTGAAATGAGGGTGTGGCAAATACCTTTCATTCAGTGCAAGAAAATTCCAGTTAAAAGTGCATAATTTCGACTAACAAAATTTAAAACATTTTGTTTTTGTTTTGCAAATACTTTCTTTTATTTAATTTTTCAAGTTCTAATCTATTAGGCGAAAACCTAAGCTCAAGGTTTTCGCCTGATAGATTCCTGAGATTTTGGCACATCAAATAATATCAAAATAAAGTTCAGAGTACTAAAATCACACCATTTCTTTTATGTAACGTCCTTTGATTAAATGACGAGTAGAAAAACATATTGAAAAAAATTTTGAAGTATTTTGCATTTTCACTTACATTTTGACAGAAAGAGGGCAAAAAAACAGAATGTCAAAATGTTTTTTATTCATCCAGAAATATTCTATAAACCTGCTTCGGGAGTACCTTCGAGTCTCGGACATCTGTGTGCATCAGAAATATGAATTTTATCGTAGTGGAAAAGTATGTTTTGGATTAGATGAGTATAGGCATGTCGTTCGTGTTTGAAACGATTTCAATTAATTTTTGTTTACCCCAATTCTGATTGATGCTGATACAAATTTTTTTTCAAATATTTATAAAATAAAACAAGCGTCATTTAAAATAAAGCTAATTTTAATTGGTAACTTATTCGTATATGTTATTTACTCATATATTTTGTGTAATCACTATAAGTTCGCAAAATAATGTTATTTTTAAATAATTGATATACCACTCGACGTAAGTGCACATATGTACTCGTACATATAGGTATATTTTTTATTTATGTAATCCAAATTACGTTTCCCTAATTATTTTTGCCTTTCACCTTTAGTTATACAATTTAAAATTAAATAATGAGAATTACGAACAGTATTGGAGATAATATTATGTATACCTATTAAATTTTTATTTAATAAAAAACTTTTATTAAATAAAAACCGAGAATTTTTATTCATTCACGTTATCGATGTTTCACTTTAATATTTATCGCAATTAATAATTCTTATCAAAAACGAAAAAAATAATATTTCTGATAATGATATTGAAAATTATTCTTTTTTTATTGCATATCATGTGCAAATAAAATTTGTAAAAGGAATTTTTAACGTTTAAGTGTCAGAACTATAATTTTTATATAAACCGTGAATAATTTCAAACTTAAAGGTTTTGTAACAAATCTTAAATAATCCTTAAATCTTAAATAATATTAATATGAATATAAATGTACTCATATGATTTTGAAAAATCATTTGTACAAATAAATAAGTTTGTACAGAACTTCTAGAATACAAAATAAGCATAATGATAATATGAATTGCAAAATATGAAATACTACATGAAAATAGATTAAATACAATATGGTCAGATAAAATTATATAATAACTAAAGATTTGAGAAAAAAATTAAAAGATATTAGTTAATTTAAGTGATATTGACTTGGAAGATCATTAATAACTACTAAAGTTAAGTAACGATAATTTTATTGATGAATTTATAAAAACATCAATATGCATAAGTTTAAAATATATATTTTTTTAATATAGTTGTACTAAGTACAAGCTATTATTAGTATTTAGGTATACATATTATACTACCCTCCATCATGTGTGTATACGTGTGTTTTAATATTTATAAAAATTTTAAACAGATTAAAAAACGTATGTATGTACAAGGTTACATACATTTTAAAATATCTCTATGTCATTTGGTATTTAAAATTTATTTGGAAAAAATCTGTAATAAATACCTATGTATATATACAACTATGTAGTTGATTTTATATTCTTTACTCTTAAAATAGTATTTTATAGTCCTTAAAAGGACTTTTTTTTAATTTTAAGCGAATATTATTTGCGTACGGTCAAATTTATTTATTTTGAACTTGTATATTTAGTAACAGCTTTTGTACCTTCACTTACAGCATGTTTTGCTAGTTCGCCAGGTAATAATAATCTAACAGCAGTTTGAATTTCACGACTAGTTATTGTTGATCGTTTATTGTAATGTGCTAAACGAGAAGCTTCTGCTGCGATTCTTTCAAATATATCATTTACGAAACTGTTCATGATACTCATAGCTTTTGAAGAAATTCCAGTATCTGGATGAACTTGCTTCAAAACTTTGTAAATGTAAATGGCATAACTTTCCTTACGTTTACGTTTCTTTTTCTTATCACTTTTCGAAATGTTTTTTTGAGCTTTGCCAGCTTTTTTTGCTGCTTTTCCGCTTGTTTTTGGTGGCATTTTTTACTATCCTTCTGCTTTTGCTTTTACTTTTGCACTACTACAAAAATTTTTTCAATTTCAATTCAATACAATACAAATATGAATACGAATTTAGATGTAGATGTAGAATACACAATTGATACCTATTTCTAAATATATATCTTTATTTACCATATTTCTTAGAATTATACTTCTTAAAATTTATTACATTAAGAATTATTTTGTTTATATTAATTTAACCGACTAACATTGTCCTTTACTAAATTACATAAGTTTTTGTCATGGAATATCTAATTTTAGTTTTTAAATTTCAATTGTAAGTTCATGTTATTTTTGAGAAAAGGTGAAACTCAAAATTTATATTTTTATAAGTTTTAACTTAACCTATATATTCCTATTTACAATTTATTTATTTTTCTTTTTATTCAGCATATTGGGCAGCGTCGCAGTTGCCGTTGAAGTACTTGATTTTCTTCCCGCTGAATAAGTTGTTTTCTTCCTGTAGTAGTTTGATGTGGTTGATGCCGAAGAATTCATCATTGAGGTTTGCTGGTTGGTTTATCAAGTTTACAATTTTGCTATTTTCATGCAAATCCAGTGTATTTATGAATTTTAATGTTTGCCTCGTTAGTTGATTATCAATTCTTATTAGTTTTGCTTTGTTGTAGACTTCTTGGTTCCGAAAATACCTTGTTCTGCTTTTCATAAATAATCCTGTGGCATGTCTTAGGCATTTTCTTTCAAAAATTCTTAGCCGCTCCATTAATCGTGGTGCTATGTTAAACCACGCGGGAAAACCATAACCAATGATTGTTCTGAGCATTTGTTTATAGAATATTAGTTTTATTTTAGGGTTCAATGTACATTTATGATTTAAAATTTTATTGTATAGTTGTATTGCACCACTGCATTTTCTTATAATGTGTTTGACATGTTCTTGGAAATTGAACTTTTCCGTTATATTTAGCCCAAGATATTTTAGTTTTTTAACTGTTATGAGGTTTGTGCTTCCCCACTTTATGTTCGGTTTTAGTTTTTTGACGTTTGGATAACAATTTTTTGTGCTTACTTTCATGGTAACGCTTTTTTCAATGTTGATTTTGATGTTCCATTTCTCCATATACTTTTTGATGTTATCGAGATGTTCATTCAAGTGTTTTTGCGCCGTTTTTAGAAGTGAAGTACTGGCATACAGGATTATATCGTCTGCATATACCAACATTTTGACACTGTTTTGAACTTCTGGCAGGTCCATTGTATATAAGTTGTACAGCGTTGGGCCCAGTATAGAACCCTGAGGAACTCCTGCTCTTATTTGTTTTTGACTTGATGTTTTTCCTTCTATTTTTACTTTGAATGTTCGTTTTTCTAAGTAGTTAGCAATTATTTTGCAAAGATGATTTGGGAAGTTGTAGGTGTTTTTCATTTTGTATATTATTGCATCTTGCCATGAAGTATCGAAGGCTTTTTCTGCATCTAGGCTAACTAGTATTGAGCCATGTCGTTTATTTAATTGATTGGTAATATCATTTGTTAGTATTGCGAGCGCATGTGTGGTTGAGTGGTTTTTCCTGAATCCAAACTGATAATCTTTAAAGATGTTGTTGCTGTTCACGAAGTTTAGCAGCTTACGATGAACGAACACCTCATATAATTTTGATACGTTTGATAATAGCGAAATCATTCTGTAGTTACCAGGCTGTTGTGCATTCTTTTTTGGTTTTAATATTGGAACCAGTATTGCTTCTTTCCATTTTGGTGGAATGAATGCATTGTTGAAAATGTTGTTAAATAGTATTATGATGAATTTTTTCATTTCCATTGGCATTTTCTTCAACAGCGTCATCGGTATTCCATCATTTCCCGCTGATTTTTTGTTGTTCCTTGTTTTTAATATTTCATTAAGCTCGGGTAAAGCTAAAAATAAATTATATAAGTGGTTGTCGTAATTGGTTGTCTTACCTGCGTTCATATGAATATTGAAATAGAATAATGGTTCGACGTTCTGTTTCACTTGATTAACCACTCGATTGACTTCTGTGCTCGTACTATCATCTGTGGTGTTGTTCATTTGATATGCTTGTTCCCAGTAATTTCCTAATACTTCGGCTTTTTCTTCGTCTTCCTCAAACTCTGTGTTGTTCATTATCAGCGGAGGCATTTTTGTTTTTAAGTGAGCGCCCACCTCATTTTTTAGCTGTTTAAACGTATCATTGTTCATCTTTATTTTTTCGAATTTTTTCTGCCAATATTTATTATAATTTATTGCAATGCGTTCTTGAATAATAATACTAATATTTTTAATTAGAGCTTTTAGCAAATTATTTCCTGTTCTGTATAACCGACGGCGAAGTCTCTTTTTGTATTTTATTAATTTTATAGTTAGATGGTCCAACTCTAGCAATCCTCTTTCTTTTACTCGGATTTGTGGAACCGAAGTATCGATTGCAGTTTTAATTACATTGTTGAGTAAGTCAGTTGCCTGAATTATTTCTTCATTGCTCAGGTTTCTAGTATCTGCTAGCATGTGTTGACTCAGTTCTTCTTCAATTATTCTTTGGAAAGTTGGTATGTTTGTATTTTTGTAATCCAATATGATTTTTTCTTCAGTGTTTGTAATATTTTGGTTGATAATTATTATTTCAACCGCCTTGTGGTCCGAAAAACTCTCTATTGTTGCCAGCTGTAGTGGATGGTTGTTGTTGTAACGCACGCCAATAGAGGCAGATGCTAGGAAGAAATCTATATATGAATTTTCTCTAGTTGGTTCGTGCGTCGACAGGTGATTTAAGTTGAATAACATTCCTTCGTCATCTAGCCATTCTTTCAAAGTTTTTCCTGTATTGTTGGTTGTTGAATCACCCCAGTACGGATGTCTTGCATTAAAATCTCCTCCAATTAACACATCTTCATTTTTTAGTTGGAGTAACATGTTTGTTAAATCACTTTTGATGTTTACGTTTCCCCTTTTGTTATATACGGAAACCAAATTCAGTGCCCTATTAGTTGATTGGTTGTGAACATGTACTGCACAGTATTCCAAAGTAGACATGTTATTTATGTGTAGCTTACGATATTTCAGGTTTTCTTTGAGCAATATTGCACATCCGCCACCCGCATTTTCAATTCTGTCGTTTCTTACACAGCTGTAGTTTTTGAACGTTATTTTATGCCCTGCTTTTATTCTTGTTTCACTTAACATCACCACATCCGGCTTGTTATCTTTAAGGAATTCGTTCAGGTAGTGCCTTTTGCTAAGGCTTATCAGCGAGTTTGTATTAAGTGTTATAATTTTTAATTCTGACATAATTCAAACATTATGGAGAATAAGGCATTTTTTCTATCATTGTCTGTTTGTATTTTATTGTATTTGGGTATGAAATCACCTATCTTGTTTAAACAGGTATTCAAATCCTTCCCGAAGTATTTTTGTACCTCGCTATTAATGTTGAGATATGTTTGCTTTTCTGTTACCTGTGGTCTGTTGTTTAATCCTTGTTTTGTGATGTTACTATAGCTTAAATTTTCTTGCCTGAAGATTGTTGGCACTCCACTAGTTGATTTTTTTATTTGATTTGTCGGTTTTACTTTTTGATTTTTTTGTTCTACTATTTTTAGCCTATATTGGCACTGAGAGTAATTTGCTGGATGATTTTTTCCGCAGTTAACACAAATTAGTGGTATTCCTTTAACCACTTTTTTTGTACCGTTTTCTTCTACTATAATAGTTTCTACGTTGTTTTCTTTTGATGGTATTTTGCAGTTTCCAGGACTATGATCTTCCGCGCATTTCATGCATCTGTAGGGCATGTTGCAGTTGACAGCTAAATGATTGAAACGCTGACACTTTTTGCATTGAAGAATTTTGCGACCTTTGTATTTTTCAATCTTGATGCCGAAGCCCATGAGAGATCTAAAACTTCTTAATTTCTTTAAAGAATTGACATCTTTAACTTGCACCAACCAGTTACAATTTTGTAGATGCCTAACTACGATAACTTGTATATCTGCATCCTTTTCTTTTATTCCATCCATTATTTCATCTTCATTATATGTCGTTGAAACGTTTTTTAATACGACACTAATTGGTTTTTCATTTCTTGGCGTAAATGTATAATAATTAATTTCCGCCATCTTCAACAATTCTTTTGTTTTTTGATAATCTTCTTGTATTAAGCATTGTATTTTAACTCTTTCCTTACTGATAAAAAGAGTAGTATTATCGTTTTTTAATTCGTTGTTTATTAGTTTTTGCAACTCTCTATGGTTGTCATAAAAGGCAATTATTGCCGGCGGCTTTTCAGTTTTATTTGATGTCAAATTTGTTTCGACACCGTTTATGTTTTTGCTTGTTGTTGCTGCTGTTGCAGCTGCGATTTTTGGTGCGGCTAGTTCAATTATCTTTTTCTGCCGCTTTTCAGCTGTGTTTTTATTTATAGTGCCGTTATTGCACCTTTTGTTGCCCTTTTTTAACTTAGGGTACTCGTTATCTTCTTCTTCCATTTTTTGGTTGACAGCTTCATTATCAGAAACATCACTTTCAGTTTCCGCTTCGCTTTCCAGATTTTTGAGGTTGAGTTGATGAACAAGCTCCTTATTCGTAGCCTCAAGTTGTTTTACTTTCTCCAACACAAGAACATACTGCTTGTACAGTTGTTGGAATTGTTCTTCCATCTCTTTCTCTCCTACTATATTCTCCGCTATGTTGTTTTTATATTTTCGATTTTTTTTTTTTTTTTTTTTTTTTTTTTTTTTTTTTTTTTTTTTTTTTTTTTTTATAAATGATTTTACTTTCAATGTGAACTGTTCACTTCGATGACTCAGATCCACTCTGACTGGTGAACTGATACCTATTTCTGGAATACAACAATATTTATGAATTTTGCTTTCTCCCCTCCAATAAAAATATTGACGCACATTTTACATTTGAAATTTTTTGCACCGTGTTTTAGATGAAAATAAAAAGCATAAATATTATGATATTTTCCATATAAAACATTAGTATTTGAATTGATCTGATTCAAATTTTCTGTGTTTATTGCTATAATCTACGATTGTGTACAGTACAAGTACAGTACAGATTATTAAATATTTTAAGTTGTATCAAATAAAAAAAAAAGAAATCATTAAAAATGTCAGGACGTGGTAAAGGTGGAAAAGTTAAAGGAAAAGCAAAATCTCGTTTTAATCGTGCTGGATTACAATTTCCAGTTGGTCGTATCCATCGTTTATTAAGAAAAGGTAATTATGCCGAACGTGTTGGCGCTGGAGCTCCTGTTTATTTAGCAGCTGTAATGGAATATTTAGCTGCTGAAGTTCTTGAATTGGCTGGTAATGCTGCAAGAGATAATAAAAAAACCAGAATTATTCCAAGACATCTTCAATTAGCCATCCGAAACGATGAGGAATTGAACAAATTGTTGTCGGGTGTTACAATTGCTCAAGGTGGTGTATTACCAAACATTCAAGCTGTATTATTACCAAAGAAAACTGAAAAGAAAGCCTAAATAACCTCAACGAAATTAACAATTTTACTATTTAAAACTAAAATTTAATATAGAAAAAAAAATAAAACGTCTTTTTCAAGACGACAAAAAATTTACCAAAAGAGAAATTTTAAAATTTAATATCTTTCAATTACGAATTACGAGTATCATATTGCATACATAAACAACTCAATTCAATATTCGATACAAATAAATATTTCATTTTTTCAATTTAAAAATTAAATCATTTTAATTAAAATGAACCGAATGAATGAAAAAATATTTTTAATATTTTCTAATGAATCTATGAAATCTATGAAAATTTGAAATGAAAATTATTTTAAATATTTTTTTAAAAATTTATGATCTATTAAATAATAATTTTATTTTATTTTATCTATATTATTCATTCTTTGATAAAATTAAAAATATGATTAAAGTATAAAAATTCAATTTTTTAATACGAAAAAAATTTTTCGCATTCATTTAAAATGAATTTATTATATTATTAATATTATGGAATTTAATGGAAGGGAAGCTTCATTTTAAAATACTCTTTTTATATTTTTTGATGGCCTTGAAAAAGGCCTTTTGTATATAAATATTAAAATAATTTAACCTCCAAAACCATATAGAGTACGGCCTTGTCTTTTCAATGCATAAACAACATCCATTGCAGTTACAGTCTTTCTTTTAGCATGTTCTGTATATGTAACAGCATCTCTTATAACATTTTCTAAGAAAACTTTAAGTACACCTCGTGTTTCTTCATATATCAATCCTGATATACGTTTCACACCGCCACGACGAGCTAATCTTCGAATAGCTGGTTTTGTAATACCTTGGATATTATCACGCAAAACCTTACGATGACGTTTTGCACCACCTTTTCCTAATCCTTTTCCACCTTTACCACGACCAGTCATTATTATTCAATTAAAAGTTACAAAAAAATTACAAATTAAATTTGATAAATTTACAACACAACTGAATGTTGATTACTGAACTAAATTCTTCGATTTTCCTCTTATATTTATGCATATTATTTCTTTCAATACACACACATTTTTCTTTTCAATTATTTACTACTACTACAACTCCAAAATACAACTACTATTTTATGACTTCAGTATCAGTTCCTAGCAGCGTTCCCACTTGGATACAATTGTATCCATTTGGATACATTTTTGCTTTAAATGTGAGCTTGGATACAAAGATACTCAAATCTGCTAAAATGCCGAAATTGGCTACATTTTAAAATTTTGCTGAAATATGGATACATTTTTTTCAAACACTAAATAAATATTACAAAACAGTTAAAATGCTGCTAATATTAAATCGCGAAGTTGCTTTATCATCAATAAATGTTATTTGCTGGCTATTCTAAGCAGGTTTCCGAATTTTTTACAAGAAAGTAAAAAAGATACTTTATTAACTGCCTCTTCCTGTATTCAAATTTAGAAAATTCATACAAGATCGTACCAAAAATATTTTAGTGTTAGCTAGATGTAATAGAAAATGCATTGGATGTACATATAATCTTCGAATAGCTGGTTTTGTAATACCTTGGATATTATCACGCAAAACCTTACGATGACGTTTTGCACCACCTTTTCCTAATCCTTTTCCACCTTTACCACGACCAGTCATTATTATTCAATTAAAAGTTACAAAAAAATTACAAATTAAATTTGATAAATTTACAACACAACTGAATGTTGATTACTGAACTAAATTCTTCGATTTTCCTCTTATATTTATGCATATTATTTCTTTCAATACACACACATTTTTCTTTTCAATTATTTACTACTACTACAACTCCAAAATACAACTACTATTTTATGACTTCAGTATCAGTTCCTAGTCCTACAGTCTATTGGCTAACCAAACCCAACACTTTTGCAAAGGCGGTTTGCATTCGCGCCTTTTTTCCTTTAATTAAAGTGCACTCAGCACTATGCAAATTTATACATTTCTTCGATAATAATTAATATATTTTACTTCTTTTACTACATTTTAAATCCCAATTCTACTCGTATTCTAAACATTAAAAAATAATAGAATTGTAAATTTTATAAAAATTGTATTTGGATTTGTGTTTGTGTTTGGGTTTGTGTTTGTGAAGAAATCGAGAAAACGTATTTGTATTGGTTTTTCTCATGAATACTATAAATATTTGTATGCGATGTGGTACATAAAATTATTCTTTTTGATTAGTGAAGTGAAGTGGTACACATCGTAATCGTATTCGTATTGTAATTTTTCCGGTTTCATTCTGAATAATACATTGAATTGAAAAATGGCTCGTACAAAGCAAACAGCCCGTAAATCTACTGGTGGTAAAGCACCACGTAAACAACTAGCAACTAAAGCAGCAAGAAAAAGTGCACCAGCAACTGGAGGAGTAAAAAAACCTCATCGTTACAGACCAGGTACAGTTGCTCTTCGTGAAATTAGACGTTATCAAAAGAGCACTGAATTATTAATTCGCAAATTACCATTTCAACGTTTAGTTCGTGAAATTGCTCAAGATTTCAAAACTGATTTACGCTTCCAAAGTTCCGCTGTAATGGCTTTACAAGAAGCTAGTGAAGCTTATTTAGTTGGTTTATTTGAAGATACAAATTTGTGCGCTATTCATGCTAAAAGAGTTACAATTATGCCTAAAGATATTCAATTGGCCCGTCGTATTCGTGGTGAACGTGCTTAATTATTATATTTAAATATTTTATTTAAAAATCAAACGGTCTTTTTCAAGACCATAAAATTTTGAAAAAAAAGTAAATTTAAACCAATTTGTCTATAAATAATGAGCCTTATTCTAGTTGTCGAAGTAGAGCGACGATTGTCGTTACGACTTGAATTTGATATTCTAAGCGATGATCGCAGTGACACTTGTCGGGGAATAGCGGCAAAATGTATTTCAGCCTTATTCCAGTTGTTGTTCTTTTGCGAAATATGTAGTGAAACGACGTTTTTTGTCGAAAAGTATTTAACAAGTGATAAGCAAGAAAGATACACCAAAAATCCAAATTAAAACAACAATTTAACAAAATCATAAAAAAAATCTACATAAATTAAGTCATAAAATATATACATAATTTAATTTTTGTTTTTAGCGTGAAAGTATTTATAAATTTGAAAAATTGGAAATTGAAGAATCGTTTTTTTCCACGAATATATTCAGTAAATATTGTAATAGTTTGAATAAAATAAAATGTTTGCAACTAACTTACTTGAAAAAATTAAAATTATTGTAATGGCTTACACTCCATTTGGCAAATCCAATGGATTAGAGCTGTCGCTAATCTAAAATCTTTTGATCCTTAATTGTCGTTTTTTTTAAATTTCATCACTACCGGAATGAGATGAACCCGTAAACCATAATGCAAATGACATTTTTTATTATTTAAAAATATATACACTGAAAATTTTTTTAGTTTTTTACTCGTTGAAATTTCTTTAGAAAATAAAACGCATTGAAAGTGAAACGTAAGTGACACGACAATTAGAATAAGGCTCAGTATAGAATGCATAATAAATCAATCAAAAGTTATAACAAAAATAATCTCATTCAATACTTTTCTTTAAAATTCAATTTAAAAATTCAGCATTTTTTTCATTTTACTCTTTAACTAAAATATTGTTAGCCTTAATAAAGGCTTTTTTATATACAGTATACGGATGTACTTACATTCATATACATCATTATTTAAATTCAGATGGTAAAAGTACTTTATTTTTTTCCTGCAGGTTTTTTGGCAACTGCTTTTTTTGCTCCAACTGATGCTTTTTTTGGTTTGGGAGCTTTAGGTTTTTTTACATCACTTTTAGATGCTTTTGTAGATTTTTGTTTTGGTGACTTACTTTTTACTGTTCCAGCTTTTTTGGCTGCTTTTGCAGCAGATTTTTCAGATTTTTTCTTTTCACTAGATACCTTTTTTGCCGCAGATTTCTTTTTATCTCCAGAAGCAGATTTTTTTGCTGTTGTTGCACTAGTAGCTTTTTTAGGTTTTTTCTCTCCAGCTGCTTTTACCTTCTTAACTTTTGGTTTAGGTTTAGATTCCTTTTTAGGTTTGGTTGCTGCAGCCGATAATTTAAATGATCCAGATGCACCTTTGCCTTTCGTTTGGATATATTTTCCATTTTCAACAGATGATTTTAAATGTTTTTTTATAAATGGAGCCAATTTATCTGCATCAACTTTATAATTTGCAGCTAAATATTTTTTTATTGCTAATAATGATGAGCCACCACGTTCTTTTAGTGTTTTAATTGCAGCATCTACCATTTGAGATGTTGGTGGATGAGTAGGTTTAGCTTTTGGCTTTTTAACTCCACTTGAAGCTTTCTTAGCCGCTTTTTTTGCTTCTACTGGTGCTGCTGGAGAAACTGCTACTTCTGCGTTTTCGGCCATATTTTTAAATCCAAAAAATTACTTTTACTTTATAATTTTAAAATAAAAATTCAAATTCTTATAAAATTACAACTTTTAAATATATGTATGAGTTTCACTTTGAAGTATATTTTATTCTTGTTATACGAGTATTTATTATTTTGTTTGCTTGCTACACAAATACAAAATATTGGAAATTTTGTTCGCAACAAAAATTATAGCCTTAAAAAACATGAGAATTACATAGAGTCGATATACAAATATTTTTACTATAATTTTAAAACATCCTTTAAATTTATTTGATACCCTATCACTATTTTTACTATTTTTCTCATTAAAGTCAAACAATTCTTAAAAATATATTTCAGTTTTAAAATTTACATATTATGTAATTATTAAAAATATATAAAATTTGCAAAATATATTTGAATTAATATGAAAATTTCACTTAAATTTACTCAAAGTCCTTCGTAATTTTAACTTCTTATGAATATTATTATTAAATATTAGTATTATTTAATTTTATATAAGTATTTTAAAACATTTATAATATTTTTCAAATTTATAAAATTCATTTAAAACACAATTGTCTCATAAAAATATAATAATAAATAGAAAAATCTTAGTTAAATGATGATTATTCCAAGCAATAATTTCTAAATTGGAATTTTTCTTCTAATTAAATTTTAAAATATTTATTAAGTTTTTTTATTCTTTTAAGCAATTAATCTGTTTATTTTTGTTATAATTTTTTAAATATTATTTGAAAAACATATATTTAAATAATTTTACAAAATAAATATATAAAATATAAATTAATAAAAAAGGAAATAAGTATGCATGTACATATTGTATATGCTTTTGTTCTATAAGTTACAAAAATTCTTTTTTTTTTTTTTAATAAAACAACACTAATAATACAATATTAATAATAAAATCTTATTTTAAGTGGATTTTATATAAAATCAAATATTAAGTTTTAATAGAAAATTAATATTCTAAAGTATTAAATCAAGGTGGATAAATATACATGGGTATATAATGGTTTTATACGTATATAATAAGGGCTACTAAAATGAAATCAATCATAAAACATCAAAATTTAAGATAATTAAGATATAAGATTAAGTACATTGTTGTGTAATAAATTATGAACATGTTTTTATGTATATATATATATATATATATGCGTATGAATGTTATATGGTATTTAAAAATCACAAATTTTGTTTACAAGATACAGATTTTATAGCATTCAAGTATTCAATATAGATCTTGTTATTAAATTGAAAATTATAGCAATTTGTTGAAATTTGACTTCCACAATTAAGTCTGGCCGATAGGGAGAAATATAAATTAGTGCTAAAGAAATCATTTGTACACATTTAATCAAATAAGACACTATTTTATATATAAAGATACATATATCATAAACAACATTAAGTAGAATTTTTAGTATAAGCATATAGGTATACACGTATAAATTTAAAAAAAAGTATCACTCTTAATAAATAATTATACATAATATTAATATGAATATAAATGTACTCATATGATTTTGAAAAATCATTTGTACAAATAAATAAGTTTGTACAGAACTTCTAGAATACAAAATAACCATAATGATACTCGTAATATGGACTCGTATACATATTATACATAAAAGCCTAAACAAATGAATTGCAAAATATGAAATACTACATGAAAATAGATTAAATACAATATGGTCAGATAAAATTATATAATAACTAAAGATTTGAGAAAAAAATTAAAAGATATTAGTTAATTTAAGTGATATTGACTTGGAAGATCATTAATAACTACTAAAGTTAAGTAACAATAATTTTATTGATGAATTTATAAAAACATCATTATGCATAAGTTTAAAATATATATTTTTTTAATATAGTTGTACTAAGATACAAGCTATTATTAGTATTTGGGTATAGATATTATACTACCCTCTATCATGTGTGTATACGTGTGTTTTAATATTTATAAAAATTTTAAACAGATTAAAAAACGTATGTATGTACAAGGTTACATACATTTTAAAATATCTATATGTCATTTGGTATTTAAAATTTATTTGAGAAAAAATCTGTAATAAATACCTATGTATATATACAACTATGTAGTTGATTTTATATTCTTTACTCTTAAAATAGTATTTTATAGTCCTTAAAAGGACTTTTTTTTAATTTTAAGCGAATATTATTTGCGTACGGTCAAATTTATTTATTTTGAACTTGTATATTTAGTAACAGCTTTTGTACCTTCACTTACAGCATGTTTTGCTAGTTCGCCAGGTAATAATAATCTAACAGCAGTTTGAATTTCACGACTAGTTATTGTTGATCGTTTATTGTAATGTGCTAAACGAGAAGCTTCTGCTGCGATTCTTTCAAATATATCATTTACGAAACTGTTCATGATACTCATAGCTTTTGAAGAAATTCCAGTATCTGGATGAACTTGCTTCAAAACTTTGTAAATGTAAATAGCATAACTTTCCTTACGTTTACGTTTCTTTTTCTTATCACTTTTCGAAATGTTTTTTTGAGCTTTGCCAGCTTTTTTTGCTGCTTTTCCGCTTGTTTTTGGTGGCATTTTTTACTATCCTTCTGCTTTTGCTTTTACTACAAAAATTTCTTCAATTTCAATTCAATACAATACAAATATGAATATGAATTTAGATGTAGATGTAGATGTAGAATACACAATTGATACCTATTTCTGGAATACAACAATATTTATGAATTTTGCTTTCTCCCCTCCAATAAAAATATTGACGCACATTTTACGTTTGAAATTTTTTGCACCGTGTTTTAGATGAAAATAAAAAGCATAAATATTATGATATTTTCCATATAAAACATTAGTATTTGAATTGATCTGATTCAAATTTTCTGTGTTTATTGCTATAATCTACGATTGTGTACAGTACAAGTACAGTACAGATTATTAAATATTTTAAGTTGTATCAAATAAAAAAAAAAAGAAATCATTAAAAATGTCAGGACGTGGTAAAGGTGGAAAAGTTAAAGGAAAAGCAAAATCTCGTTCTAATCGTGCTGGATTACAATTTCCAGTTGGTCGTATCCATCGTTTATTAAGAAAAGGTAATTATGCCGAACGTGTTGGCGCTGGAGCTCCTGTTTATTTAGCAGCTGTAATGGAATATTTAGCTGCTGAAGTTCTTGAATTGGCTGGTAATGCTGCAAGAGATAATAAAAAAACCAGAATTATTCCAAGACATCTTCAATTAGCCATCCGAAACGATGAGGAATTGAACAAATTGTTGTCGGGTGTTACAATTGCTCAAGGTGGTGTATTACCAAACATTCAAGCTGTATTATTACCAAAGAAAACTGAAAAGAAAGCCTAAATAACCTCAACGAAATTAACAATTTTACTATTTAAAACTAAAATTTAATATAGAAAAAAAATAAAACGTCTTTTTCAAGACGACAAAAAATTTATTAAAAGAGAAATTTTAAAATTTAATATCTTTCAATTACGAATTACGAGTATCATATTGCATACATAACAACTCAATTCAATATTCGATACAAATAAATATTTCATTTTTTCAATTTAAAAATTAAATCATTTTAATTAAAATGAACCGAATGAATGAAAAAATATTTTTAATATTTTCTAATGAATCTATGAAATCTATGAAAATTTGAAATGAAAATTATTTTAAATATTTTTTTAAAAATTTATGATCTATTAAATAATAATTTTATTTTATTTTATCTATATTATTCATTCTTTGATAAAATTAAAAATATGATTAAAGTATAAAAATTCAATTTTTTAATACGAAAAAAATTTTTCGCATTCATTTAAAATGAATTTATTATATTATTAATATTATGGAATTTAATGGAAGGGAAGCTTCATTTTAAAATACTCTTTTTATATTTTTTGATGGCCTTGAAAAAGGCCTTTTGTATATAAATATTAAAATAATTTAACCTCCAAAACCATATAGAGTACGGCCTTGTCTTTTCAATGCATAAACAACATCCATTGCAGTTACAGTCTTTCTTTTAGCATGTTCTGTATATGTAACAGCATCTCTTATAACATTTTCTAAGAAAACTTTAAGTACACCTCGTGTTTCTTCATATATCAATCCTGATATACGTTTCACACCGCCACGACGAGCTAATCTTCGAATAGCTGGTTTTGTAATACCTTGGATATTATCACGCAAAACCTTACGATGACGTTTTGCACCACCTTTTCCTAATCCTTTTCCACCTTTACCACGACCAGTCATTATTATTCAATTAAAAGTTACAAAAAAATTACAAATTAAATTTGATAAATTTACAACACAACTGAATGTTGATTACTGAACTAAATTCTTCGATTTTCCTCTTATATTTATGCATATTATTTCTTTCAATACACACACATTTTTCTTTTCAATTATTTACTACTACTACAACTCCAAAATACAACTACTATTTTATGACTTCAGTATCAGTTCCTAGTCCTACAGTCTATTGGCTAACCAAACCCAACACTTTTGCAAAGGCGGTTTGCATTCGCGCCTTTTTTCCTTTAATTAAAGTGCACTCAGCACTATGCAAATTTATACATTTCTTCGATAATAATTAATATATTTTACTTCTTTTACTACATTTTAAATCCCAATTCTACTCGTATTCTAAACATTAAAAAATAATAGAATTGTAAATTTTATAAAAATTGTATTTGGATTTGTGTTTGTGTTTGGGTTTGTGTTTGTGAAGAAATCGAGAAAACGTATTTGTATTGGTTTTTCTCATGAATACTATAAATATTTGTATGCGATGTGGTACATAAAATTATTCTTTTTGATTAGTGAAGTGAAGTGGTACACATCGTAATCGTATTCGTATTGTAATTTTTCCGGTTTCATTCTGAATAATACATTGAATTGAAAAATGGCTCGTACAAAGCAAACAGCCCGTAAATCTACTGGTGGTAAAGCACCACGTAAACAACTAGCAACTAAAGCAGCAAGAAAAAGTGCACCAGCAACTGGAGGAGTAAAAAAACCTCATCGTTACAGACCAGGTACAGTTGCTCTTCGTGAAATTAGACGTTATCAAAAGAGCACTGAATTATTAATTCGCAAATTACCATTTCAACGTTTAGTTCGTGAAATTGCTCAAGATTTCAAAACTGATTTACGCTTCCAAAGTTCCGCTGTAATGGCTTTACAAGAAGCTAGTGAAGCTTATTTAGTTGGTTTATTTGAAGATACAAATTTGTGCGCTATTCATGCTAAAAGAGTTACAATTATGCCTAAAGATATTCAATTGGCCCGTCGTATTCGTGGTGAACGTGCTTAATTATTATATTTAAATATTTTATTTAAAAATCAAACGGTCTTTTTCAAGACCATAAAATTTTGAAAAAAAAGTAAATTTAAACCAATTTGTCTATAAATAATGAGCCTTATTCTAGTTGTCGAAGTAGAGCGACGATTGTCGTTACGACTTGAATTTGATATTCTAAGCGATGATCGCAGTGACACTTGTCGGGGAATAGCGGCAAAATGTATTTCAGCCTTATTCCAGTTGTTGTTCTTTTGCGAAATATGTAGTGAAACGACGTTTTTTGTCGAAAAGTATTTAACAAGTGATAAGCAAGAAAGATACACCAAAAATCCAAATTAAAACAACAATTTAACAAAATCATAAAAAAAATCTACATAAATTAAGTCATAAAATATATACATAATTTAATTTTTGTTTTTAGCGTGAAAGTATTTATAAATTTGAAAAATTGGAAATTGAAGAATCGTTTTTTTCCACGAATATATTCAGTAAATATTGTAATAGTTTGAATAAAATAAAATGTTTGCAACTAACTTACTTGAAAAAATTAAAATTATTGTAATGGCTTACACTCCATTTGGCAAATCCAATGGATTAGAGCTGTCGCTAATCTAAAATCTTTTGATCCTTAATTGTCGTTTTTTTTAAATTTCATCACTACCGGAATGAGCTGAACCCGTAAACCATAATGCAAATGACATTTTTTATTATTTAAAAATATATACACTGAAAATTTTTTTAGTTTTTTACTCGTTGAAATTTCTTTAGAAAATAAAACGCATTGAGAGTGAAACGTAAGTGACACGACAATTAGAATAAGGCTCAGTATAGAATGCATAATAAATCAATCAAAAGTTATAACAAAAATAATCTCATTCAATACTTTTCTTTAAAATTCAATTTAAAAATTCAGCATTTTTTTCATTTTACTCTTTAACTAAAATATTGTTAGCCTTAATAAAGGCTTTTTTATATACAGTATACGGATGTACTTACATTCATATACATCATTATTTAAATTCAGATGGTAAAAGTACTTTATTTTTTTCCTGCAGGTTTTTTGGCAACTGCTTTTTTTGCTCCAACTGATGCTTTTTTTGGTTTGGGAGCTTTAGGTTTTTTTACATCACTTTTAGATGCTTTTGTAGATTTTTGTTTTGGTGACTTACTTTTTACTGTTCCAGCTTTTTTGGCTGCTTTTGCAGCAGATTTTTCAGATTTTTTCTTTTCACTAGATACCTTTTTTGCCGCAGATTTCTTTTTATCTCCAGAAGCAGATTTTTTTGCTGTTGTTGCACTAGTAGCTTTTTTAGGTTTTTTCTCTCCAGCTGCTTTTACCTTCTTAACTTTTGGTTTAGGTTTAGATTCCTTTTTAGGTTTGGTTGCTGCAGCCGATAATTTAAATGATCCAGATGCACCTTTGCCTTTCGTTTGGATATATTTTCCATTTTCAACAGATGATTTTAAATGTTTTTTTATAAATGGAGCCAATTTATCTGCATCAACTTTATAATTTGCAGCTAAATATTTTTTTATTGCTAATAATGATGAGCCACCACGTTCTTTTAGTGTTTTAATTGCAGCATCTACCATTTGAGATGTTGGTGGATGAGTAGGTTTAGCTTTTGGCTTTTTAACTCCACTTGAAGCTTTCTTAGCCGCTTTTTTTGCTTCTACTGGTGCTGCTGGAGAAACTGCTACTTCTGCGTTTTCGGCCATATTTTTAAATCCAAAAAATTACTTTTACTTTATAATTTTAAAATAAAAATTCAAATTCTTATAAAATTACAACTTTTAAATATATGTATGAGTTTCACTTTGAAGTATATTTTATTCTTGTTATACGAGTATTTATTATTTTGTTTGCTTGCTACACAAATACAAAATATTGGAAATTTTGTTCGCAACAAAAATTATAGCCTTAAAAAACATGAGAATTACATAGAGTCGATATACAAATATTTTTACTATAATTTTAAAACATCCTTTAAATTTATTTGATACCCTATCACTATTTTTACTATTTTTCTCATTAAAGTCAAACAATTCTTAAAAATATATTTCAGTTTTAAAATTTACATATTATGTAATTATTAAAAATATATAAAATTTGCAAAATATATTTGAATTAATATGAAAATTTCACTTAAATTTACTCAAAGTCCTTCGTAATTTTAACTTCTTATGAATATTATTATTAAATATTAGTATTATTTAATTTTATATAAGTATTTTAAAACATTTATAATATTTTTCAAATTTATAAAATTCATTTAAAACACAATTGTCTCATAAAAATATAATAATAAATAGAAAAATCTTAGTTAAATGATGATTATTCCAAGCAATAATTTCTAAATTGGAATTTTTCTTCTAATTAAATTTTAAAATATTTATTAAGTTTTTTTATTCTTTTAAGCAATTAATCTGTTTATTTTTGTTATAATTTTTTAAATATTATTTGAAAAACATATATTTAAATAATTTTACAAAATAAATATATAAAATATAAATTAATAAAAAAGGAAATAAGTATGCATGTACATATTGTATATGCTTTTGTTCTATAAGTTACAAAAATTCTTTTTTTTTTTTTTAATAAAACAACACTAATAATACAATATTAATAATAAAATCTTATTTTAAGTGGATTTTATATAAAATCAAATATTAAGTTTTAATAGAAAATTAATATTCTAAAGTATTAAATCAAGGTGGATAAATATACATGGGTATATAATGGTTTTATACGTATATAATAAGGGCTACTAAAATGAAATCAATCATAAAACATCAAAATTTAAGATAATTAAGATATAAGATTAAGTACATTGTTGTGTAATAAATTATGAACATGTTTTTATGTATATATATATATATATATATGCGTATGAATGTTATATGGTATTTAAAAATCACAAATTTTGTTTACAAGATACAGATTTTATAGCATTCAAGTATTCAATATAGATCTTGTTATTAAATTGAAAATTATAGCAATTTGTTGAAATTTGACTTCCACAATTAAGTCTGGCCGATAGGGAGAAATATAAATTAGTGCTAAAGAAATCATTTGTACACATTTAATCAAATAAGACACTATTTTATATATAAAGATACATATATCATAAACAACATTAAGTAGAATTTTTAGTATAAGCATATAGGTATACACGTATAAATTTAAAAAAAAGTATCACTCTTAATAAATAATTATACATAATATTAATATGAATATAAATGTACTCATATGATTTTGAAAAATCATTTGTACAAATAAATAAGTTTGTACAGAACTTCTAGAATACAAAATAACCATAATGATACTCGTAATATGGACTCGTATACATATTATACATAAAAGCCTAAACAAATGAATTGCAAAATATGAAATACTACATGAAAATAGATTAAATACAATATGGTCAGATAAAATTATATAATAACTAAAGATTTGAGAAAAAAATTAAAAGATATTAGTTAATTTAAGTGATATTGACTTGGAAGATCATTAATAACTACTAAAGTTAAGTAACAATAATTTTATTGATGAATTTATAAAAACATCATTATGCATAAGTTTAAAATATATATTTTTTTAATATAGTTGTACTAAGATACAAGCTATTATTAGTATTTGGGTATAGATATTATACTACCCTCTATCATGTGTGTATACGTGTGTTTTAATATTTATAAAAATTTTAAACAGATTAAAAAACGTATGTATGTACAAGGTTACATACATTTTAAAATATCTATATGTCATTTGGTATTTAAAATTTATTTGAGAAAAAATCTGTAATAAATACCTATGTATATATACAACTATGTAGTTGATTTTATATTCTTTACTCTTAAAATAGTATTTTATAGTCCTTAAAAGGACTTTTTTTTAATTTTAAGCGAATATTATTTGCGTACGGTCAAATTTATTTATTTTGAACTTGTATATTTAGTAACAGCTTTTGTACCTTCACTTACAGCATGTTTTGCTAGTTCGCCAGGTAATAATAATCTAACAGCAGTTTGAATTTCACGACTAGTTATTGTTGATCGTTTATTGTAATGTGCTAAACGAGAAGCTTCTGCTGCGATTCTTTCAAATATATCATTTACGAA